TGTAGTTTTGCTGGTGTTCTGTACCACTGGGAGATCAGCTTGTAGTTCACCTCTTGGTACCTGGTGCTTATGGAGCTTTTGTGTTGTAATATGAGAATCTGCGCCCATTGGGCGTCTGTGAAGGTTCTGTCTGTCAATTCCTCCCACTGCCTCTGGAAGGCGTTGTTTCTGGAAAGTTCCCCTGTGAGCAGTTGTTGGTATATGCCCGATACTCTGCCATCTGCCTCTGGATAGCTCTCGCAGGTGTTCAAACCAGGTCCATTCTCTGTGTACTGCTCCCATATTGGGCAAGTTGTGATAGAAGTGTCTCAGCTGTGCGTAATGGAAACGGTGTATTATCGTCAGACGATCTGTGTCCGCCCAGTCTTGTAGGCTGCGCAGGCTGGCGTTTGTCAGGGCCGAACTCAGGGGTACATATCCCTCTGCTCCCTGCGTTGGCCACGCGTCCGCGTGTAGTCCCCCTCCTATGGTTACGTTATATGTTAGGGGGATCAGGGGGCTTGGCTGTGGCGAGATGTGAGCTTCCCTTTGCAGGGTGGTCCAGGTTTTCAGCGTCTGCGTCACCGGGGATTCCGCACCCAGAGCTTGTGTAGCCCCTGTCGGGCGGTGCCAGATGTATGTGTGGAGTGCTCTGTTTGTGCTTTCCCTATCCAACCTCATCCATAGTTTGTTGGTGGGGGCCGTGTGAGTCAATAAGTTTTCCCAGTTTTTTGTGGTAAAATTAGGTGCCTCGGCTTATACTCTAGTATATACGGTAATTGGTTTACTGTCATGTCGCATCCAGCCAAGAAGCAACTGATCATGTATTAACCCCTTAAGGACCGGACTGTTTTTGCGATCAGGCATATTTTTACACTTTTGTGGTGTTTGTGTTTAGCTGTAATTTTCCACTCTCTCATTTACTGTTCCCATACAAATTATATATGGGTTTTTTTCAGGACAAAAATGGGCTTTCTTTACATACCATTATTTATATAATCTCATGAAATTTAATTTTAAAAAAATAAAAAAATGATGAAAAATTAAAAAAAAAAAATACATGTTTTTTGACTTCGACTTGAAAAATCTTTTACTCATCTACAAAAGCGAATGAAAAAAAAACTGTTAAATAGATTAAAAATTTTGTCCTGAGTTTAAAAATACCCAGTGTTTACGTGCTTTTTTTTGCACGTTATAAGGCTATAGGTACAAGTAGGATATTGTGGTTTCAAAACATAAATTTTTAAAATTTATCAATAGTGACATTGTAACACTATTATCTGTCATAAATCTCTGAATAACACCCCATATGTACATATTTTTTTTAAAGTAGACAACCCAGGGTATTCAATATGGGGTATGTCCAGTCTTTTTTAGTAGCCACTTAGTCGAAAACACTGGCCAAAGTAAGCATTCATATTTGCTTGTGTGTGAAAAAAGTAAAAAAACTAAATTGAACGCTAATTTTGGCCAGTGTTTGTGACCAAGTGGTTACTAAAAAGACTGGACATACCCCATTTGCAATACCTTGGGTTGTCTTCTTTTGCAAATGGTATGCCATCATGGGGGTAATTCTCATTCCTGGGCTACCATACGCTCTCAAAGGCAACGTAACCAATCTGGCCATTTTCAATGTAAAAATATTTGACCCATATATTTGACCTTGTAACTTTCAAAAATGCTATAAAACCTGTACATGGGGGGTACTGTTTTACTCGGGAGACTTTGCTGAACACAAATATTAGTGTTTCAAAACTGGAAAATGTATCACAACAATTATATCATCAGTAAAAGTGCTGTTTGTGTGTGAAAATGCAAAAAAAGTCACTTTCACTGACAATATCATCGCTGTGATATGTTTTACTGTTTTGAATCACTAATATTTGTGTTCAGCGAAGTCTCCCGAGTAAAACAGTACCCCCCATGTACAGGTTTTAGGGTGTCGTAAAACGTTACAGGGTAAAATACAGTGCAAGCAAATTAAGTTCTCTGGACTTTCGGCCTGGGTTGGCAGGCAGGTCCCTCAAATTGCAATCAATAAAATTACTTAATTATATGAAAATATTACATAAATACGCACGTAGAATTTAAATATATATGCAGATTTATATATTTGAAGTCTACGTGTATATCTATATAATTATTTATGTAATTATGTATATGGACATATGTATATTTCGTATTATTTCTATTTATATGTACATAGATATATATACAAATTCATTCTAAGTGTATTTTGAGATATATATATATATATATTAATATCAAAATACAGTTAGAAAAAATTTCATATAGATAATTTAAATTACTTATTATTTATATAGTTATTATATATTATATATATACGTGTGTAATTTAATTATAAGTGTATTTTTATATTAATATATGTACATACACTTAGTATGACATTATACACTTACAGGGAGTGCAGAATTATTAGGCAAATGAGTATTTTGACCACATCATTATCTTTATGCATGTTGTCTTACTCCAAGCTGTATAGGCTTGAAAGCCTACTACCAATTAAGCATATTAGGTGATGTGCATCTCTGTAATGAGAAGGGGTGTGGTCTAATGACATCAACACCCTATATCAGGTGTGCATAATTATTAGGCAACTTCCTTTCCTTTGGCAAAATGGGTCAAAAGAAGGACTTGACAGGCTCAGAAAAGTAAAAAATAGTGAGATATCTTGCAGAGGGATGCAGCACTCTTAAAATTGCAAAGCTTCTGAGGCGTGATCATTGAACAATCAAGCGTTTCATTCAAAATAGTCAACAGGGTCGCAAGAAGCGTGTGGAAAAACCAAGGCGCAAAATAACTGCCCATGAACTGAGAAAAGTCAAGCGTGCAGCTGCCGCGATGCCACTTGCCACCAGTTTGGCCATATTTCAGAGCTGCAACATCACTGGAGTGCCCAAAAGCACAAGGTGTGCAATACTCAGAGACATGGCCAAGGTAAGAAAGGCTGAAAGACGACCACCACTGAACAAGACACACAAGCTGAAACGCCAAGACTGGGCCAAGAAATATCTCAAGACTGATTTTTCTAAGGTTTTATGGACTGATGAAATGAGAGTGAGTCTTGATGGGCGGATGGATGGGCCCGTGGCTGGATTGGTAAAGGGCAGAGAGCTCCAGTCCGACTCAGACGCCAGCAAGGTGGAGGTGGAGTACTGGTTTGGGCTGGCATCATCAAAGATGAGCTTGTGGGGCCTTTTCGGGTTGAGGATGGAGTCAAGCTCAACTCCCAGTCCTACTGCCAGTTCCTGGAAGACACCTTCTTCAAGCAGTGGTACAGGAAGAAGTCTGCATCCTTCAAGAAAAACATGATTTTCATGTAGGACAATGTTCCATCACACGCGTCCAAGTACTCCACAGCGTGGCTGGCAAGAAAGGGTATAAAAGAAGAAAATCTAATGACATGGCCTCCTTGTTCACCTGATCTGAACCCCATTGAGAACCTGTGGTCCATCATCAAAATGTGAGATTTACAAGGAGGGAAAACAGTACACCTCTCTGAACAGTGTCTGGGAGGCTGTGGTTGCTGCTGCACGCAATGTTGATGGTGAACAGATCAAAACACTGACAGAATCCATGGATGGCAGGCTTTTGAGTGTCCTTGCAAAGAAAGGTGGCTATATTGGTCACTGATTTGTTTTTGTTTTGTTTTGAATGTCAGAAATGTATATTTGTGAATGTTGAGATGTTATATTGGTTTCACTGGTAATAATAAATAATTGAAATGGGTATATATTTGTTTTTTGTTAAGTTGCCTAATAATTATGCACAGTAATAGTCACCTGCACACACAGATATCCCCCTAACATAGCTATAACTAAAAACAAACTAAAAACTACTTCCAAAAATATTCAGCTTTGATATTAATGAGTTTTTTGGGTTCATTGAGAACATGGTTGTTGTTCAATAATAAAAATTAATCCTCAAAAATACAACTTGCCTAATAATTCTGCACTCCCTGTAGTATGACATTATATGATATATAGACATTTTATATAGATAGAATATATATATATATATACATATATACATATATATATATACATATACATATATACATATACAGGGCCGGCCTTAGGGGTGTGCGAGCTGTGCGGCCGCACAGGGCGCCATGGCAACAGGGGCGCCGGGCGGCCAACACAGCTCGCAGGCCGGCCGAGTTCTGTATTTAAAGTGCAAGTCAAGTGCATAATACTGCTTTGCACTTGACTTGCAAATTATGAGCAGAGAGCCGCCGCCGGGAATCCACTTATGTATGGAGGGTGGAGGAGCGTGGGGGCGTTATGCCGCGTACTTGCGTAACGTCGACGTGCTCTGTCATCAGAGGGAACCGCGGAAGGATCCAATTCAGTGAGTGAAGGCGGCACCCGGTGCTCTTCAATCGGCGGAGACAGCTCAGTCCAGGGAGCAGCAGCCTTTACTGTGAGTGACTTTTTTTTCTTTTTTATTAAATAGGTTTTGTTGAAGAGGTGCAGGAATTTAATTAAGGGGGGCAGGGGATTGATGAAGGGGTGGCATGGATTGCATTAATTGGCAGGGGATTTATTAAGGGGGCTGATAAAGGGTGGCAGGAAACTGAAAAGGGGGGCATGGGGCTGATTAAAGAGGGCAGGTGGTTGATAAAGGAGTGGGAGGGGATTGATGAGGAGATCAGGGGGCTGATGAAATGGGGGCAGATGGCTGATAAATAGGTGGGAGGGAATTGATGAGGGGGCAGGGGACTGATGAAGGGGTGGCCAGGGGTTGGATTATTTGGCATGGGATGTATTAAGGGGGCTGATGAAGGGGAGCAGGGGGTTGAAAAGGGGGGCATGGGACTGATTAAAGGGGGGCAAGTGGGTGATAGGGGTGGGAGGGTACTGATGAGGGGGTCAGGGGGCTGATAAAAGGGGGAGGGGATTGGTGAGGGAGTCAGGGCACTGATGAATGGGGCAGAGGGCTGTTAAAGGGGTGGGAGGGGATTGATTAGGGGGTCAGGCGGCTGATGAATAGGGGCAGAGGGCTGAGTAAAGGGTGGGAGGGAATTGATGAGAGGGGCAGGGGACTGATGAAGGGGTGGTAGGAATTGATAAAGGGGTGGGAGGGGATTGATGAAGGGTAAGGGGTGGCTAGGAGTTTGACGAAGGGATGGCCAGGGCATTGATGAAGGGGAAGGGGTGGACAGGAGTTTGATGAAGTGGTGGCCAGGGGCTTGGTGAAGATCTGGCCAGGGATTTTGGTTAAGAGGTGCAGTGGTTTTGTAGAAGGGGGTGGAGGCAACAGATTGTGAATGCTCCTAAAATAGTTTGAAGGGGTCCAAACAGAGACAGGTGAGGGGGGGGGGGGCGCCACAAGATTGTTTCGCACAGGGCGCCTGAACACCTAAGGCCGGCCCTGTACATATACATATACATATATATACATATATATATATATATATATATATATATATATATATACACATACACACACACACATATATAATTTTTCTTAAAAATTTTTTTTTAACACTATCTTTATTTTATTTTTTTTAATGATTTTACACTTGCAGGGAGACTGCCTGTCAGCACAGACAGTTCCCCTGCAGGAAGACACATGGACACCTATTGTGACCATGTGATCGCTGTGTTGAGCGATCACATGGCCACAGGGGTCCTAATCCAGTGTGGGGAGACTGTCTGGGCTGCAGGCAGTCTCCCCACAACGTGAGCAACACCGATCTCCGCCGGGGGAACAACGTCGATCAGGTAAGTAACTAGGACCGTCAGCTGTCGGCAATGGAAAAATGCCGATGACGGTCCTGAACTGTCTGCGGTCCTTAAGGGGTTAAGATATATGGTGGTATCAGGTAGACCATTTTGTACCCCAGGTGAAGTTTCTAATCTTGTGAAAGCTTAATAAACCTTAAGTTGAAAACCAAAAAAAACTAATTTCTCAAATTTACCTTTGCTTTTCTTTCCCGGTCTGCTGGGGTATCTGTCCAAATTGTTCGATCTCCTGATTTTTCATTTGTTTTCCTCTTGAAACTCCTAGGACCAAGTCCAAAAGAAGTCATCTCTGGTGGGAGTTCTGTCATCCATGACTCTCTGGAAATTTTCTTAGACCCATCCTAAGATATAAAGCACAGGTGTGTTAAACAAAATGTAATTTAAATCTGGTAATCTAAACAGTTTAAGGAATGCACACAAAAAAAACGAATGCAACGGTTAGCTTTTAAATTGAAGAGTAGTCTAGCCAGAGAAACAAAATCCTATTCGTTGATTTAATTGAAGACTTTAACTCTTTCCATATCAAATACATTTCCCATATGAATCATGCTCTATCTATTGTTTCTTTTTGAGAAACTGACATAATAAAGTTACTATGGAAACAATATCGTGTTAGAAAGATGTCCATTATGTTCCTTACATTAGGCACGTTTGTCAATAAGGTTAAGGTGTCGACGCAGAGAAATCTATTTTCTCTCTCAATTCTCCCATGCCCTGCTGTTAGAAAAGTGATCATGCCTGCGTTTTTTTTTTTATTATACCATTTGGTATTACCAGTTGCAGTACTCCAACAGTAAGAAATCTTGCAGGATAGAAAAACAAAACTCCCGATTAAACCTAATATTCGTTCTGAATGACCTGCAAGAATAAAATGCATTTCAATCCATACCGGACTAATTGATGTGTCCAAGATTTACCTGAATAGCCTTAAGGTAAATCGACCTGAGGAGTCTTACAGCGGGAGGCGTGGAAAGGTAAGAATTGCTTGAACCTGTCCTCCATGGGTGCCGCCATCGTCCTCCTGTTGCTCCTCTTCAGCTTCTGGTTCTTTAGCTGCCAGGAGCCGACGTCAGTGCTGTAATCTCGCGGATGCGCTAGAGTACAGCACTAAGGTCTATGAAGGATCTTGGGAGACTGCAAGATCCTCCATAGAAAATGTAATGGCTGGGGGAAATGACATGGTTGTCTTAGTATGTCTTTTAACTGTGGTGGGTTCTCAGTAAAATTCCAACACAGTAAAAAGGAGTATTTCATAAAGATTTTATCTGTATGAAATACTCATTGGGGAGAGAGGGGTTAACAGTGCCTCTTCAAGACTCCTCAGGTAAATCTTGCTTGGGTGGATCAACTCATCCGTACATAAAATTACAAGAAATTTAATTCATCTGGGTAGCTCCTGCTCATCACAGAAACGACTGGAAAAAGAACTCTTGCATAAGTATATTTAGTACTGATCATACTCAGAATTTCTGAAAATTTTGCACCTAATTGGGAAGAGTTAATTACGTTACTAGAGCTTAGTACTAGTTTTTTTTTTTTTTTTACCTTTTACCTAATATTTAAACCATTTATATCTATCCCTCCCATTACATGTATAGCTTGAGGATTACTCATTAGTTAACGCTGCCACAGTTTGAACGATTAATAACCAAGGCAGCATTGTACTACCACTCCTCTTCTATGGGTCAGATAGGGAGTTGGTGGTCTTTATAATCCTTATGCCACAGATCTGTTTCCTGTCCTTTTTGCTTGAAGGGGGGAGGGAGGGGACTACACAAAAAGAATTTGCCCAGTAAACAAGCATGAATAGTTCACAGTGTTAAGGAATACTGCAAATGTAAGTGTATTATATGTATGAGGGCACTCTGGCATTGCTTTCAGGAAAATACACAGAGCACTACGGGTGTTAAACTGAATTACATTTCTGTGCCTTGTTGTGCCCTGACATTAAGATGCATCCCAAAAACATAATTAATATTTCTAACTTTAAGTTAGCTATTCTGTGGTTCGAGAGCAAGGAAGTGACAGTTCAATTTTATTGTTGTGACAGTTATTAATCAGAAAGATAAATATTTGGTATGGATATTATTTACTATTCATGTAACACAGTTTCTTAATTTTAATATCTATGTTAAAACATGTCTTCTCATTCCTACAGCATAGAGTACTAGCGGAGAAGAGCATTCTGAACACTTTGTGCGATTACAGGAGGGTTGCATAACAAATATTTACATCCTATAAATATACATATCTACATCAGACTTCCCAAAATCTTACATCATCATTTCCAGTTAGTTTTTGTTTCATTTTCCAAGCCCTGCGCTCAAAATCCTCAGCAACACTGGATGTAACAGGTCCTCCAGTAGGGACTGGCCCAATGACATGTTCATCTCCGCTGCTCTCTACCTGGGAACAAAGGACAAACTTCAGATCATGTGACAAAGAACATGTTAATGGTGTTACACTCTTTCCATGGAATTTCATGCAGAATGACTTCAGTAGGGACAAGTGGTTCTATTTCCTAATACAATACAGACCAGCACTTTTCATGCTCTGCCATGCAGTTTTCTTTACCCGTCTTTCATTTATAATTTTTTTAGTAGTGATTTGTGAACACTGACTTTCTAACCTATATAAAATGAAAAATCTGCATTTATGGGGAAATTTGCTCATATTTTTGTTTTCATGTTTACATTCCTCCCTAGTAATCTTCACTTTAGGTCGTGTGCATCTAGGAGTGTGTATGAAAGCTGCTAGCTGTGTATACCAACAGCTTCTAGCCATTACCCAGTATGTTAGTGTGTGCACTACACAGGGCTACAGTGTGTCAAATTATCATTATAGCTGCTGCTATTCTAATGTAGGTAGATGCACTAAATCAGGTGATAAAACTATACTGATTGGCAGTTTATCATTGGTTTTAGTAACACACGACCAATTCACTCCTAGGTCAACAAATATATTTTTGAATTAGAAAAACAAAACAATAAATAACTCACAACTTTGAAAGGAAGGAGTCCATCTTAAAGAGTTTGTAAACAGCATTAATTAAAGACTACAAAAGTCACCAAATAAAATTGTTCAATTCAGGGAGTAGACGGTCAGTATATTTGGGCAGAATTGGGTTTGATGAACATTTTGAGCTCTTATCAAAATTAGGATTGAGGACACTTTCTATAATTTGATGTCCTTAAGCATCCTTCATCTAATATAGCGATGTTTTAGTACGGAGTGGGAACGTTCATTGTATATCGTGCCTCACAGGTTTATTTCATGTTAAGTCAGACTAGAGGTAGTACTTTCTCAGTTGCTGTGGCTTCCAGATCTGTCAGAAAGGGAGCGGAGTGGAACAGAACTCTGCAATCCAAAGTGACAGATGAATTAGCATTTCTCTCACATTCCTGCACAGGGAACCAGTCCAAACTGTTTCAAATGTGCAGAACATAACAGATTCCATTAAAGATACGGAATCACATTTTACAAAATGAGTATAAAAAAGATGTATCATTTAAAAATAATAAAACATGCTACCTTCACAAAGTATGCAGTAATTCAATTAAAATAGTTTTTGTCAAACTTTAAAAATGCTAGTCAGTTTGCTCAGTGTCCAAAAACTCTTTGCAACATAATCGCTATGACAAGCTGTACTAGATATGGTTCTTACAGTGTCCCTTTAAGCAGCTCTGGCTTTAAACCAAGCTGAACAGATTGATCTGTAAACTAAGCTGTGTCAGCATCGGTACAATAAATGCACTGCGATGCTCCAGCTACTCAATACCTTGCCCAACCAAATGCCAGCGCCGTTTTCTTTCAGTTTAAGTTTTTCCACCATTTACCACGAGTGATCCATGCTCGTTGTGGTGGTTGGCATGCTGGTTGGTCCCATTAGTGCTCCTTACAGCAGGACTGGACAGTGATGCACCAAAATACATTGTGATCACAGTAGGCCTGACCAAGCTGACAGTCTTTTGTCAAAGGTTCCCAGATCCACCAGTGTTATCCTTAACATATCTAAATGATTATTCTAAAGGTCATAACCACTTCATCTTACTGAAGTAGTTATAGTACAAAGACTTTGTCCCTGCAGCTTTTTTGTAACTGACTTGTAAGTCAGACAGCTGGAATACTATCTTCTGCCTGTCCATGGCTGAGGAACTGACACACACACTCTATCAAAGAAAATGTAAATTGGTTTTGTTTTTTGATTTCTCGCCTTCCATGTGGCAGAGGTCACTTAAAAATCATAAGTCAGCCTGGGCTTGTTCTAAGCGTTATTGCTATATTTTATAGTAAAGATGCTACTTGCTTAAAAGGACCACTATAGTGCCAGGAAAACATACTCGTTTTCTTGGCACTATAGTGCCCTGAGGGTGCCCGCCGGGCTATAGGGTGAGGAAGGGGTTAAATTTACCTCTTTCTCCAGCGCCAGGCAGGGGACTCTCCTCCTCCTCGGCTAAATGCGCATTCAGCCATTCCATAGCAAAGCATTCTCAATGCTTTCCTACGGACGCTGGCGTCTTCTCACTGTGAAAATCAGTGAGAAGCGCCTCTAGCGGCTGTCAATGAGAAAGCCACTAGAGGCTGGATTAACCCTATTATAAAAATAGCAGTTTCTCTGAAACTGCTATGTTTATAGAAAAAAGGTTTAAACCTAGCTGGATCTGGCACCCAGACTACTTCATTAAGCTGAAGTGGTCTGGGTGCCTATAGTGGTCCTTTAAAATACCTGTTGCTACTGTTAGAAGAGAAGAGTTGTTTACCAACTGCAGAATTTGACTCCAGTATCAACATGGAATTACCGGCTGACACTTATAAAAGTCAGTTGCTAAGTAGTGGATAACCAGCCACATTTTTCTCTATGGGACCCACTAACCACTACTTTCGCTACAACTGGGTTCCTACTCTTCTTTCTAGAAGTGCAAGTTCCATTGAAATGAACAATCCCCACAACAGAAATCAAGCTCAAACATTCCATAATTTATCTCTGGCATACAATCACAGCTCAAAGGAGTTTTAAATATTGCGTCAGAGCTACTTTTAAGGGTTATTCCAACCGCTTTTAGAAGTGGTCATAGTGGTAATCGTCTGTATGTGTAGCTTTTCTGCTTGAAATGCTTCACAGACAGAGATATTGTTTTTAAAAACATTTTTTATTAAAGAGTTCACCACATATAATACAAATACAGAATGAGGCTCGCATATCCCATGGCCCATAAATCCAAGTGCAACAAGTATAACAAATATCATGAAGACATTCAAGTTTCAAGCAAACAGCATAACATGTATAAACATGCTCTTCCCTCCCTCCCATCTCCCTGCATTGCCTTTTTAAAATTTTCATTTTTAAATCCCATCACCTGTTCTTCACCCCATCCGGCTCAGAGCCTGTGCATACACTTTGAGCGGGTCAAACAGTTAAATCAAATGCTGTTCTATGAGAAGTATTTGATTGGACCATGAATTAGCACTGCTGATGTCATACAGGGCGTGGAAGGCAGTGCTAGGATCTTGGCCCAGCACTGGATTCCAGCTATGCTTAAAGGGACATTGTAGGCACCCAGACCACTTCAGCCCATTTAAGTGGTCTGGGTGCCAACTCCCATCACCTTTAAACCTGCAAGTGTAATTATTGCAGTTTTGTAAACTGCAATAATTACCTTTCAGGGTTAAGTCCTCCTCTAGTGGCTGTCTACCAGACAGCCACTAGAGGGACTTCCGGTAGTCTAAATGACGCTGTACGTCCTAATGCTATATGCAGGAGGACCTCCAGCGTCGCCGGAATCCCCATAGGAAATCACTGAATAATGCTTTCCTATGGGGAGGTCTAATGCGTGCGGCCATTGCAGCGCATGCGCATCAGCTCTCCCGGCGGGGGAGGAGCGGGGGTGGCGCCGAGGGACATTGGCGCTGGATTCAGTAATAGTCTGAAGGAGTTTTAACCCCTTCAGCGATGTGGGTTGGGGGAGGGAGGCACTGCAGGATTCTCAGGGTGAGCCTTGTTAAGGTTTGGTTGCTAAAGTGACAACTTACATATTGTGTTTCTGTGCTTTCACAGTGAGCAGATAATCTGCAAGAGTATGTCATCTACGCCAGCTAAGATTATCAACTGGAAAAATATAATGACAGACTTGGTAATTAATAGCCGCTACTAGCTACCAGATGTCAATAGCAACTATTTACCAACAAGGCTGGAAACAAGCCTTCTTAACGGGATTTTGTGTACCATCAAATTAAATGCTGGACTGCAAATCTCAACAGCCTCAGCCAGAATCTGACTTATGGAATATAATGCAAACCAGCGTCAACCAGTGGTAGCCTGAGCCTGATAAGAATAGCAGTCTACAATAGTTTTTTTTCCTTCTCATTTTAATGGATAAAAGACAGCACAGAACTAATACAGCTGTAAAGTATTAACTTTTTTAAAAATCTGAATTCCAAAAACTAGGCAAAACTTCCCATCCATATGAGAGGGTACGGATTAGAGATCTATCCTCAAAGATTAACTACGAGAAGCATTTGATTGGATAATTTGATTAAATTAATTTGGAAAATAAAAGTTACATTTTATTTTTACACCTTTGGAGTCCCGGGAGTGCTATCTCTACGCAATTTGTGTGTGTATATGTATGTATATATATATATATATATATATATATATATATATATATATATATATATATATATATACATATACACACACACACACACACAAACACACATTTTTCATGTTCACATTTGAAGAATAAAATTATGTGGGCACATCTCCATCTGCATAATATTTATAGTTGAGCTAATTTCAAATTCCCGCAGAATAAAACATGGCAGTCCTACTGTTGAATTAATGATAGTGTTGACATGTTTTGGTCTATTTATCTCCAAGTATCAGAAAACTGTATGAAGAATCTGCTGAGCAAGTGGAGTTATCAGTCTGCAGAAAAGTATGATACTTTTCTTAGAAAACAGATGCCCATCTCTGTAAGTGTATACTAACAATATTTCCAACAGATGTGCCCTCATACCATACCCAGTCAGTGGCAAGGCAGCATAACAGAAGGGGTTGCACTGAGAGGTTGATGTTAAAAGATGATATTATGACAGCCAAAGAGTCTTCAACGTGAAGAGTTCCCAGTTGCTTTATTAGAATCACACACACACAAAAAAGTATTTTACTGGTATAAAGCTAGAACTTGTAATCAGCTTAATTTCATACATCATTACACCAAAAGTATTTGATCTGAGAAGCTGTCAGTCTGCAGAATTTTTTATTTCCGTTCAGAACCTTCAGACAGACATCGGCAGTCACACATATATCCTCTGCAGCATTTGGTGATAGACACATTTTGTGCAGTCAGGAAATCACATAAAAATGTAGTGTATGAAGACTCAATAGACATTTAAGTAGCACAGCATAGTTCATAGAAAGGTCTTCAAAAATATGTTTGTATTACGCTGGGTTTCTTTACCCTTTAGTGATCAGACCGTTTTTCAATTTTCTTACCGTTAAGGACCAGGGCTGTTTTTACATTTCTGCGGTATTTGTGTTTAGCTGTAATTTTCCTCTTACTCATTTACTGTACCCGCACATATTAAATACAGTTTTTCTCACAATTAAATTGGTCTTTCTAAAGATAACATTATTTCATCATATATTATATACATTTACTAGAAAATTGTTTTATAAAATATGATGAAAAATGTAAACAAAAAACACTTTTTCTAACTTTGACCCCCAAAATCTGTTGTACATCTACAACCGCCAAAAAAACACCCATGCTAAATAGTTTCAAAATTTTGTCCTGAGTTAAGAAATACCCTTTGTTATTTCCAAACCATTTTTTTTCTCCAAAATTAACGAAAGTTACATTGTAACAATGATATCTGTCAGGAATCCATGAATAACCCTTCACATGTATATTTTTTTAAAAGAAGTCAACCTAAGGTATTAAACTTGGGGTAGTTTGATTCTTTTCATGATACCATTTTACCACCAATCAATGCCAAATAATAATTGGTGATTTTTTTGACACACATAGCAATTTAAGAATACATGTACTGAGTACTTTAAGGGTTACTGCCAAAGAACACCCCAATATGTGTTCAGCAACATCTCCTGAGTACAGGGATACCACCCAGGTATAGGTATTGTGGGTTCTATGGGGACTAAAAGACCTTACTTGGAGGGTGCGCATTCCAGTTTTTCAACTTGGAATTTTCACAGCTGGTCATCATGCACCCATGTCCTACTTAGAACATTTTTGAAGCCGGCCAATGTAATTTACCCACATCAAACCATATATTTTTGAAAAGTAGACACCCTAGGGTATTTCAAATGGTGTTATTTTAACACTTTCCATGCACTAATTCTACCACCAGTCTTTGTCAAACTTTTAAATTCTTTATTTTTCTCAAACATGTTAGTTGTCAACATGGGATCGTATAATATAGTCTGGTTGAGTACCACATGAACAGCACATTAGTGAGTAGATTAGAGATCAGAAGAGAAATAAGAGCCTCCTCCTCCCCCAGGTATGTCCGCGGTCCTTAACGACCCTTTTTTGTCGGACGTACCTAGAACGTCCGTGGTCGTTAAGGGGATATATGTATTTATAACTTCATTCTAAATGTATTTTGATTTAAATATATACATTTATATTAACATCAAAATACAGTTAGAACAAATTTAAACCAGTATATAAATTTTTTTTTTTTTTAATTTAAGGCTCTGACAAACGAGCTTACAGTCGGCACCCATCACAAACACACAAAGTCAGCAAGCACACACCCCAGACACATATAACGACGCAGGCAACACACACCACATGTATTAAATGGAATCAGCACACATACACCCATACCCCAGAAAACACACACTACACCTAGCCAAACTATGGAAAAATTAAATCCAAATGGAAAAACGGGAAGAAAAACGAGAAAGCATTTTCCCATTTAGTTTTAATCTGGGAAAAGAAATCAGAGTTTATTGAAAACCCTTCCTAAGTCAAAGTTTAAGCAGTAACCCCTAATCTTTATAATTTGAGATTTTGTGTCCGTGTAAATAAATAGATTAAATGTGTGAGAATATACATCAGACAGAGGGGAGACTAAATCTGCCCTTACTTTGTTGTTGATTTTCCTTCTCACAATTTCATAAAAATGGCCACCAGCGAAAAGCAATGCAAAGCAGTTCCATACAATGAAGGCAAAAGAAACACATTCTCACAGTTTTGGGGTCTCTGCCTCTAATTCTAGAATTATTGTTCAAATTAACCCATCCTGATTTGCCAGAGGACTGAAGGACATCTTTAAAACGTTTTCTGGATTTATTCAAAATTTAATTTTTTAACCTGATTAAACTGTAAAAAGTAATCAGTCGATTAATAAATTATTAAAATAATCATTAGTAGCAGATCTTTTTAGATACATAATTACGCTCTGCATTTGAAATTCTTTTTTTCTCCTACATGTTTGCCAACATTGTAGTGATATTTCAGTTGTAACATTCCGCTAATACAGGGGTAGGCAATCTTGGGCACTCGAGCTGTTGTGTATTACATCTGCCATAATTCTGGCAAAGCATCATGGGAGATGTGGTCCACAACATCTGGAGTGTCAAAGGTTGCCTACACCTGCACTAATAAAGACTGTACAATAAAAACACAGAAAAATGGTGATGGATTGGGCATGTTGTTCTATAGATGGCAGATTAGGAAATTCTAAAAATACAAATGAAAAAGGCTAACTCAATTGCAAAATAAGAATGTGTCATTTATATGACTGAAATTTAGTAGTAACAATTCCATGCTTTAAAAAGCATTACATAAATTCTAATTTTTCTCATTTTATGCCCTTTTCAAAAGCATATCAATGCTACAGGGATTCCTCTAATGAGATCCAACGCAGCCAATCATTAAATGCAGTGTTTGTCTCCATATTTGTACATATAACCTCTACTGGAATCTGGGCTAGAACTATAAAGTGTAAATGCTTATTACAGGGACAATGCAGAGCTAAAATGAAAATACAGCTGTAAAAAAATAAATAACTAACACTAAAGAATTGCATTCAAACCAGAAAGATCATTAGAGCAGCACACAGTTGGATATTTCTGCAGTAGTGAAGAGAACAATAAACGATTTCATGGGTCTAAGGCATTCATTAGTATCTGTTCATAACATGACAATCTATATAAACAGTTTCAGAGATACAGTAAAGACGGATTGCCTTCTCATCAAAAAAGTGTAAAATCATCACAATATGTAGATTATATATGTATATTTCACATTACTCTTTGTTGTAAATATTTTTTGGAGAAAGAGTAATAAAGACATGAAAGCCGCCCAAATTTCTGTTTTGTCCAAACACATTTGGCCAAAAGAGAAAAATAAATAAATAAATGTGCTTTGTCCAAACAGATTTCATTTGTCTGTTCATTTGTTTTCGGACAAAATTCTGCCATTATTTTCGTTTTGGAATTCATTTAAATACTCACTAAACTGGTACTCTTGTGAGATTGCCATATGGGTGCCAAATTAGGGAGCTGTTTAAGAAATAGCTAAATTTTTTATATTCTTATGGCAATCCCACAAGAATTAAGGTGCTATCTACCAGGAAGCTGAAAGACCAATATTGCGAAAAGCCCTTCCTTTTCTTTTGGTCTTTCAGAAAACTTTACGAATACAAAGCAAAATATACTTCGTATCAGTAAATATGGGAGGTTAAATCCTTCCTCCTACCATGCTGCGAGTAGGTGGTTTCTTTTGGGATGGTTCTGCTGGGGGTGGGGAGGTAATAAACTAAACTACCTGTGAAATAAATTTAAAAAAATTGCATACTATTAGAAATCCTCTTTCATCATCTTTTCTTCAAACTCAAAAAAGGCCAAATAAAAATACATTAAGTTGCATCGCACTTATTAAAATAAATTAGATAGATACATTTTTAAAAAAAGATTACAAAAAAAAAAAAAAAAGACAATAAAATAAAATAATTAGGATGCAGAACTAAATCCAGAAGAAAAAAAAAAAACAATCCTTTGCAAGGGCTCCACGCAGACTGAGGAGCTTGCAGTGCGGGGAAAGCCTTATAAATGCTTTTCCACAGCATGCAATTTGAGTCAGAGTGCTGTGACTGAGAGGCTAAGCCAACCAGAGTGCCTTGACAGGTAAATCTTGAGACTTACTGCTTGTACTTTTAAATATCACAAGGAGGGAGCTGTGAGCTGGTAGCTCTCTCCTTGTAATAAACTAAAATGAATGAACAATTAAATTGCATGGACAAAAATATGTCCAACAAGCAATTCGTTCTTCGTCTCATTCATTTTAATTTGTCTATACAAAACAAATGCCCAAGTCAATACAAAACATTTCACAAATTCCAACAAAGCTTAGAGCCTCATTACGTCTGTCACCAGTGTGCAGTGCTTTATTATATATAAAGCACTGCTCTACCCTTGCTGGGATCGCTCCTCCAAGAGGAAGCTTGCATCTCCCCCCCCTCCCCTTTCATTTGAGCTCTCCCCACCTCCCTATATTTCTTATGATTTATCAGTTTGTTTGTTTTTGATTAATTTATATTTCCTCCCTCACTTGTCCAGCCTCCACTTTCTCACCTTATGGCCATGCGCACTGGGCAGGTGAGGAGAGAGAGAGAGAGAGAGAGAGAGAGAGAGAGAGAGAGAAAGAAAAAGAGAGAGAGAGAGAGAGATAAAGAGAGAGAGAGATAAAGAGAGAGAGAGAAAGAGAGAGAGAGAGAAAGAGAGAGAGAGAGAGAAAGAGAGAGAGAGAGAAAGAGAGTGTGTGTGTGTGTGATAAATATATATATATATATATATATATATATATATATATATATATATATATATATATATATATTTATTATTTATTTATTTTTTTACTAGGAACGTTTTATTAAGCCTTTATTAAAAGGGCTGTACTAGTGCACTTGACATGTTTTAGACAAGATTTCTAAAAATAAAAGAATTTTATGTGAAAAGGAATACAATTTTTTTTTTTTTTTTTTTAATCTCCAACACAATATACCCCTGAGCACCTTTACTTGACTGTTTGATAAAGAAAAAAAACAAAAACATAAAAAAACCCTCTATTATCTAGGCCTTTTTTTGTCTCTAATGTTAAAAAAAAAAAAGGCCAAAAGTGCATCTTTGCCATGGTCATAAACGCTAACGTTTGTCACCGTGACTAATATTTGTAATTCCTGAAACCTTAATTATTTATCAGCATTTATCATAATCAGTACATCCATGCCAAACATTTTATTGTGTCATTTGGAAACCAGGCACTTATAAAAGCTCAGTCTGCCTGACAGAACAATTCTAGAATGCTAGTCTAGTGGGATATGGCATGTACAATGAGCACTGGACAGTTTCAAATCACTAAGCAATATTGAAAAACAAGAAATAATCCAGATTAATTTCTCAAAACAATTCGGTACAGGAAATCTCAAATGTCAGACTAAACAAAAAGTAAACCTGTCAAACGTTTTCAGGAAAATATTCTCAGTTTGCAATTTAGGATAAAAGCAGCAGAGTCGTGCAGCTAGGGATTAAAAAGGGTTACTTAGTAAGTCTGATATGCAAAAACAATTAGAAATATATGGACCAAAGCCAAGGGTATATCATCTGATACCCATGAAATGCCAATTTAATTAAACAAAACACAAACCCATACCCATGGGTAATGTGGCAAACAAACATGTCTTTTGTCATCCTCTGGCGTACATTCAAAAATCTTGGGAGTGGGAGGCTTTGAATATTCTATTAATGACTAAAATGTTATATGTGCCCTAGAATTCCCCATATATGTCAGAAGCTTAAAAATGCCATAGTTAATCCTCTCTGCTACTATGTAAAACTCCAATCCTCTGACCATTCTAATAATATTATCTAATGAGACACATGGAAAGGAGGGGCGTGATCTAACGGCTCTAAAAAGTGTTCGGAATATAGGTTTATATGCACACACACTGTGCAATCTTTCCCTAAACTCTAATTGTCTGGGATCAGTTTAAGCCAAATTCAATGGAGTAGCATCACTTCTCTAGATAACTCTGCAGTAAAGAGACTCCAAATGACAATTCTATGCACGGTTGTTAAATGTCATCTGGTGGAAGTAATTCCAAGCAAACACAATGCATGGGTGGGCCAAGAATAGCAATTTGGCTGAAGGATGTTTACATTTCATCTTGGCAACCTACAGAAACTGCCCACTAAATAAATATTAAACAATTAAAGTTTGCTTTCTTCTCTCATCGGTTACACTCACCCCATTCACTTTTTGACATTATGTCAGTTTACTAAAGCTTACCTCTCAACATATCTACATTTTGCAATATCTCTAAACAGGCAATGAGCCCAATGAGTTCTCCATGCCGATTTATTTATTTTACAACCAGCAGATGTCGACACATTTTGTCCTACAGGTTACAGTTGCCAGATTAAGCATCTGGTCATGTCGCAGAGAGAACCAGCTCATTTGTTAATGGAAAGGGGCCATTTTTCTGCATTTTCACTACTCCTAATAGCAATTTTGTGTATACTAAATGGAAAATTCTCATTAAAACCAAACATTTTCCTGCGAATCAAAATATAACCATGTATTGTGTTTCTAATTATTAATAGTCTAATAGAGTTATTGACTATAATGATAATTTACAGTGAATTTCAAATTAGCTGAATGGAAAGCATAGCCGTCTTAGAGAATATTAACACTTTGGCTATTTTAACCTTAAAGGGACACTACAGTCAAACAAATTTAGCGTAATGAAACAGGTTATGCCTAGATAAAGTACCTGCAGTCTCACTGCTCAATTCACTGGAAATTGAGTTTTTTTAATTTTTGTCATCTTTATTTGTGACAGTACAGAGCATAATAACAGGTACAAAGACATTACTCAAAAGATATATAAGCATAGACATAATATGAAATATGGATAATATTGCACTTTTTGTAGTAAAAGAGAGACACAGTTCTATTTATGTGAGACAAAGAGAAGGAAACACGCTGGACTATAGAACTCTTAATAGATTATATAAGAAATATTTACCACTGGAGGGATAAATTAAAATGGATATACAATTGGGGATCATGCTATACATGTAATAAAGGATTATAGCAGACATTAAAACAGCCTAGCCATTGCATACAGCTTGCCAACTAAGCTAAGGTGTGAGACGATCTGGCCGTAGGCAAGATTCGAGGTCAATTCAGACAATGCCCAGTATTGGCTAGACCCACTCTCTGCCATTATTGTTCCCTCTGCTGGAGCTTGAACACCTAGCCCAGGCATTCTTACTGGTCTGCAGAATGTTCCTCGGGATGTCATTTTGGCCCACGAACAGTCCTTGTATCTGCCGACAAGTGTGACGGCAGCACAAGAGCAAAAATGATGTGGCACTGTATTCTGCTGGAACAATCTCTTGCGCCTTCTCCTTCGCAGTAGTGCTTTTGAGATTCATAGGGGGCGCCCATTCAGGCGACGTCAGCGTGCAAGATGGGTCCCAGAAGCCACAGCTCGGACAGCAGGAGTGGAGGAAAGTCCATTGGCATAGAACTTTGCCCATACGGGCGCACAGTTTTGGTCAATCGCCAAGAGGATTGGATCTACATGTGTGAGTGACTGAACAGGCACTCCTTGTCGTAAGCCCCAGCAGAGCAGCCATATTAGCAACTGGGTCACAGCTCTGATTCAGCAGTAGGCTGCAGTACAGGTCCAGATGTCCTGTCAATATTCCAGTGGGGACAGGGATATTCCCCACCGGCCCTAGAGGGGCGAGAACAGGTCCTTCAGCAAACAAGCACAAAGTCAAGTCTGAGGATCATCTGCCTTCTCCACCTTGAGTGTAAGCCACAGGTAGGTCAAGCACTGGCAGGAACTACCAGTTTCAGGCTTAACTGCAGGATTTAGGCCAAATAGAGAGCACCGGTGGACTGTTCGTTTTTTAATAAGTAAATCCTCTAGAGGAGCTTCAGCACCACGCGACCATCCTGGTTGGCTATCAGGCTCTACCCCCGCCATTTAGAAGTTAAAATCACTTTTGTTTCTTTTTATGCTGCCCTAGACATAGCTCACCTGGCTGTGACTCACACAGCCTGCATGGGAAAAAAAGGGTTTAATTTTCAAGCAGATGTTAGCTTACTTTACAAAGTTTTTAATCTCCTGTTATGTAAATTGAACTTTAATAAAATACATGTGGCTCCTGCAGGGTCTAGATGGCTATTAAGAGAGCAGGCGATACATTTTTTTTTTCTAAATTAAACAGAATGAGCAATCAAGGAAGTTTAAACATTACATCTCACTTTACAGGAAGTGTAAAAAAAGGCTGTGTACGTCACATGTAAGCAGGGCCCTCAACCCCTCTGTTCCTGTTTGTCCAACTTGTCTGGTTACAACTACATGTTTGTTTGTCCACCCACTGTAAAGCGCTGCGGAATTTGTTGGCACTATATAAATAATAACAACAACATGAAGGGAAATGTGACTAGGGCTTAAGAATCAAATTTATTTAACTCATAAATGGCACAGAATTGAGCAGTGAGACTGCAGAGGCAATATTTATACACCAAAACTGCTTTGTTAAGTTAAAGCTGTTTTAATGACTATAGTGTTCCTGTAAGTTTAAAATTCACTTTGAACTCATTTTGAATTCTAACTTTAGTGAATAAGCCTGTTAGCCTTACAAGATATCCCCTAAGACAGAGACAGAGAGACACAGAAATGCATTTCAAATTCCATCTATGTGAATCTCCAGGAAGCACCTCTATAGGCTGTCTGGTAGTCCGCTACTAGAGGCAGTGTGAGAAACTGCAATGTACACATTTCAGTTTCTCAAAAACAGCAATGTTTTACATTCCAGGACTAAAGGGACAGGGACATAGTACCCAGGAAACTTCAATGAGATGAAGTTGTCTGGGGGCCTATAGTATCCATTAACCCCTTAAGGACCAAACTTCTGGAATAAAAGGGAATCATGACATGTCACGTGTCCTCAAGGGGTTAACAAAGAAATAAATAAGGGGGGTGGAGGCGGACTAGCAAGCTGACAAGATGCACTTTGCATGAGCTCCTGCTATACGGGCTCAAACTATGCTGATATTTCGGGGTACAGTGCTGCGACTCACCCACAAAAAAGCCCATTGGACTGGGGAAGCTTGTATGTACCCGACGACACTACACTCGACACCTAATAGTGAAGTATTGTTTGAGTGAAATAAAATTTGAAGTGTATTTTTAATGTTCACTTACAAGTAGAGAGCAGATGAGCCTGCTCTACTTCAAACAGCTCCAAGTGTAGAAATATCCACTGCCACCAATAAGGTAAAACTATTTATTTCCACAATTATAAAAACAGCATACATTTAAAATCACTGGGTATTAGTAGATGCTATACTTTACTGAGTTCGTGCAGCCGCCGGCTAAAGCAAACAGTCCGTGCGCGCTCGAGTTTGGCAATGTCCACAGAATACTTCCAGGAGGCGGGACGTGCCTTTATTTCACTCAAACAATACTTCACTATTTATGTTTTGTATTTTCTTTTATGTATTACCATTTGCAACTGAGATTTACTTCAAATATGTGATCAAAGTAAGTGTACTTCATTGGATTTTTGTGCACTATATAACTAAACATTTTGCATCGAGCACTTTGAGCATATATGCACATTGCACTTTCTAAAGAGTGGAATGAGTTTTTTTGCACTACTTTCACTTTGATACTGTGAGGAAACCTGCACTTATTTTTTTATGTTTGGATTAAATCGATCTGAACCGACAAAAAAGGCTTATTGTGGGTTGTTCAATTGCCAATAGACGTGATCTTCTGATATGTAATTAAGGTGTGATGCATTGTATGACAAAACCTGTCAAATGATCCTCTTTGTTCGACATAGCCTTCTGTTCTGAAAATTGATTGTTAGTTGAGAGGACAAGCAATGGCTTTAAAAAGCATTTTAAGAAAAATATATACATTTATCTTACACATAATATTTTGCTGACTGTATAATATAACCGTGTTCTTTTTTCCCCCTCATTATATTAGAGGGACACTATAGTAACCAGAACTACAGCTTATTGCATTTGTTCTGGTGAGTAGAATCATTACTTTCAGGCTTTTTGCTGTAAACACTGTCTTTTCAGAGAAAATGCAGTGTTTACATTACAGCATAGTGATCACTTCACTGGCCACTGCTCAGATGTCTGCATGGAGACACTGAACTTTTCTCATAGAGATGCACTGATACAACTTGATCTCAAGGAGATGCTCATTGGTCAGGGCTGTGTTTGACTTGTGCTGACACGGTCCCTGATCTGTCTCCTTGACAGTCTCAGCCAATCCAATGCTTTGTTATGGGAAAGCATTATGATTAACTGAGAGAATCAAGCAGGTAGATCAGGGGCAGAGACAGCAGCAGCAGACTGGAATAAAAATATGATTTGCTATATTTAGGGGAGAGAGGGCATATAGTGGTTTTAACAATATAGGGTCAGGCCAAGGCTGCCCATTATCCCCGCTCATCTTCATCCTATGTCTAGAACCACTAATACGACATATTAAGCAAAACATGCAAATCAAAGGACTAAACACACCAGGGGGCACCAAGAAGCTAGTGCTCTTTGCAGACGACATACTACTATTTGTTACAGAACCAGACACATCCCTCCCGGAGTTACTGAAACTCCTAGGTAGATATGGCCAAACCTCTTACCATAAGAACAACATCGCCAAAACCCAGGCACTTCCCATAAACCTCCCACAAAAAGAAGTGGCCGAGCTAGTGAGACAGCATAAATTCGATTGGCGACGAGACAATTTGACCTACCTAGGAATAAACTTGACCAAATCCTTTCAAACTATCCAGAAAGAAAACCACTACCCGACACTGCATAAGATCAAAAAGACATTAGAGAAATGGGCTGCCTTGGAGGTGTCCTGGCTGGGGGGCATCAACACGTTGAAAATTATGATATTGCCCTTAATTATCTACTTATTCCGCACACTCCCCATAGCACTACCAAATAAATTAATAACCCTGTTCCAATCCACGATAAACGCACACGTTTGGAAGAGGAAACCTCCTCGGGTGGCGCAAAGCAGTATGGGACTCCCCTATGACAAGGGTGGACTGGGCCTCCCCAACATAAGGGGCTACTACAGAGCCACGACATTAGCCCAAAGCATACGAGTATTACAGCCAAAGTGCGCATGCTCCCAACCACTGTGGCTGGAGCTATAGAACGCTTGCCTGCGGCCATATGACCTGAACCACTCCCTGTGGACACACACTTACCCCCCGACGACAACCACACCCAGGTTACACTGCACAAAATTCCAAATACAATCTTGGGTGACCTGGGGCAAACATATAGTAGGGACCGTACCACTGCTTCAATCTGCGCCAGTGGAAGCGTTGGGGGCTCTGTCAGCCGACCTGTCGCTGAAAACGTGGGCGGAAAAAGGCATAATCAGGGTGGGAGACCTATGCGCAGGGTTAGAAGTCGTTCCCCAGGCTCCAACAGAAATACTCATTGCTCCAACAGAAATACTCATTGCAGATGAGGGACATATTCCTATACCTAAGAGTGAAAAGCGTCCTCTTAACGAAATTAAACGAGGGGCAGGACTCAAACTCCCTGGATGCACTACAACCACAACAAATACTGTCACCTAAATGTACGAAACCATTAGCCCTATGCTATGGCACCATCCTCCAAAGCCTGGCTACAGGGAAACTTTCCTACATGACAAAATGGGAGCAGGAACTGGGAACCTCGATTCCCTTGGCACAATGGCACGAAGCAATGCGCAATACCAAACGCGCATCGAGAAGCTTGTCACTCTGGGAGGCATATTGTAAAATAATTAGCCGGTGGTACTTGGTGCCGCACAGGCTGTCACGCATCTACGCCGACGCACCAGAGCATTGCTGGAGATGCGAGGAAAGCAGAGGCACGATGCTACATATGTTCTGGGAATGCCCAGCCTTAGGGGAATATTGGGAAAAAGTGGGGGCACTGTTATATAACACAACACAATGCAAAATCCCTCGAGACGCCAAAGGCTACCTCTTATATATCGCCCCTGAATTAACGCACCACGCAAACCGTACAGTGGCAAAAATTAACATAGCATTTCTCTGGAAAAGTAAAAATGTATCAAAGACTAGACTAGACACGATCTGCCAAAGACTAGACACGATCTGTTCCTATGAACGAATAGCAAGCAGAGTACAGGGTAATGAACAAAAATGGGTGCGGGACTGGGAATGCTGGTCTATAAGAACATGAGACTAAAGCCAATAGACGGGGCGGGGGAGATTGGAACCCAAGCGGAATAACTGAGTATGACAAACTAGATACTTTGCAATATAAAAGCCTATAGACCAAAGGACAAAGACTAAACCAAGCAACGTAGGAGAGGAAGTGACACTGTGAACAAACTTACCCTCCCTTCCTGTTATCTACCCTGTTCCCCCCTCTCCCCGGGACGCATACTAATTGTAGCAGCTCATATAAAGGGATCACACAAGCTGGTCACAATCAGCTCGGAGCAGATGACACACGAGCGTAGGTTTGTCTCTCGAATAAGATACATTACAGGGTGCAACCATAATCTCCCGACATCATTCAGTTATAGCAACAGCCACACACCGAACTTCACATAGGACGACATATACTAAAGTGAATCACGAAGCTAAGTCACCTAAGCAAGAGGAGCAAGGCCCTCATGTAGGGCGCAAGTAGATAAGTTAACTGTTAAATGTTGTATCCAACTGCGATTGTACAAGGAATCTGCTACTCGCCTCACAATACTTGATGTATACTGAAACCCATGTATGTAACTACACACTCATCCTTGAAATGTACTGTGATCTCCACGTTATGGACTGTATATTATCTGAAAACATTTACCTAACCACTTGTGGATTGTGCCCCCCTTATTATTTCCCCCCTTTTCTTTTCTGTACCACCATTAACATACTTATGTTCTGATGGAAAAAATAATAAAAAATAGAAACATGAAAAAAAAAAAAAAAAAAAAAAAAAACAATATAGGGTCAGGAATACAATATAGGGACCCTACAGTGTTCCTTTAATTTAAATGTAAACCTATATCATATTACATTTCGATTGTCAATATGCATTATACAGGTGATACTCGAAAAATTAGAATATCGTGCAAAAGTTAATTTATTTTAGTAATGCAACGTAAAAGGGGAAACTAATATATGAGACAGACGCATTACATGCAAAGCAAGATAGTTCAAGCTGTGATTTGTCATAAGTGCGATGATTATGGCTTACAGCTCATGAAAATCCCAAATCCACAACCTCCATAAGGAGGGAAAGACTCAAAAAGGTGATTGCAAAGGAAGTTGGATGTTTCCAGTTTCCTTCCACATAACGTTCTATTAATGTGCTGTATCAAAGCACATTAATAGAAAGTTATGTGGAAGGGAAAAGTGTGGAAGAAAAAGGTGCACAAGCAGCAGGGATGACCGAGGCCTGGAGAGGATTGTCAGGAAAAGGCCATTCAAATGTGTTGAGGACTTTCACAAGGAGTGAACTGAGGCTGGAGTCAGTGCATCAAGAGCCATCATACAGACGGATCCTGGACATGGGCTTCAGATGTCGTATTCCTCTTGTCAAGCCGCTCCTGAACAACAAACAAAGTCAGAAGCGTCTTACCTGGGCTAAAGAAAAACAGACCTGGTCTGTTGCTCAGTGGTCCAAAGTCCTCTTTTCTGATGAGAGCAATTTTTGCATCTCATTTGGAAACCAAGGACCCAGAGTCTGGAGGAAGAATGGAGAGGCACACAGTGCAAGATGCTTGAAGTCCAGTGTGAAGTTTCCACAGTCTGTGTTGATTTGGGGAGCCATGTCATCTGCTGGTGTTGGTCCACTGTGCTTCATTAGTCCAGGGTCAACACTGCCATCTACCAGGAGATTTTGGAGCACTTCATGCTTCCTTCCGCAGACGAGCTTTATGGGGATGCTGACTTCATTTTCCAGCAGGACTTGGCACCAAAGCCTGGTTCAATGACTGTGGGATTACTGTGCTTGATTGGCCAGCAAACTCGCCCGACCTGAACCCCATAGAGAATCTATGGGGCATTGCCAAGAGAAAGAGGAGAGACATGAGACCGAACAATGCAGAAGAGCTGAAGGCCGCTATTGAAGCTTCCTGGTCTTCCATAACACCTCAGCAGTGCCACAGGCCGATAGCTTCCATGCCACGCCGCACTGAGGCAGTAATTGCTGCAAAAGGGGCCCAAACCAAGTACTGAGTCCATATTAGTGCTTATACTTTTCAGAAGTCCGATATTGTTCTATGTACACTCCTTGTTTTATTGATTGCATGTAATATTCTAATTTACTGAGATTGTGGATTTGGGGTTTTCATGAGCTGTAAGCCAGATTCATTGCACTTATGACAAATCACGGCTTGAACTATCTTGCTTTGCATGTAATGCATCTATCTCATATATTAGTTTCCCCTTTTACGTTGCATTACTGAAATAAATGAACTTTTGCACGATATTCTAATTTTTCTAGTATCACCTGTATATTGCATATACTCCCTACTCTTGAAATATATAACTAGAGGTTTACTAACCAGAAAAGGGGCTATTTGAAGGAAAAACACACTTTTTATTTGTATGAAAGATTACTTGATACAAAGAGAGCGAAAAGACAACAGCTAACATGATTTAAAAAAACAAAACAAAAAAAACAAACATCTTTTCACATCTTTCAATTGGAGGTTGACAATGACTTAAAATTTGGGAGACAACTTGATTTCCAAGAAAAGAAAACATCTTAAAAATGTAACGTGAGGAGGTTTCTTCTGTCTCCTGGGTTGTGTAAACCTATTACAGATTGTGTATTGTGCTTGCTTACTACTGACCTGTTCCTCACAGCTGGAATGATTGGAAGATCCACTGTCATCAGTGCTGTCATCATCCAAATTTCTGCTAAAACCTGGAGGTAATGCAGGACCTATTATAGGCCTTAGAGAGAGGAGACATTAATTTTTGGTGAAATCAACTTCCTGAAACCATAATATTTAATACATTTTCATTTTTATAACTATAGTATAACTATAATGTAGGTATGTTCAGAGTGACAAAACAACAGTTAACCTAACAGTTTTGCATCCTACATTTCTTGACACTAGCATGCAAAAATATAAAAATAGTTTTTGCAAGCCAGTAAATGTCTCTTTAAACAGAGAACAAAAATGTGGGAGTTTCAGAAGAGGGGCCAACGGGTGCAAATGCAAGCAGCAGAGCTCTGAGCCAGGTCGGTCAGTTTCGGGCCTGAATCACCAACCTGTGCCTCCCCCCCCCCCCTGAAAACAACCTACTAATCTGCAGGCACCAGCTCTCATTTCTCTGCCCACCCAGAAGTGCACATACTTGTGGAAGTGTGTTAAAACCAAAAGATGACTGGTCTTCCCTAACCAAATGAAGATGGCACAAAATCCACATATGAAAGAAGAATGAAGACGTGCATGCTGATGGGATGTTGTACATTCAATGACAGCTTTATGATGGCTGCGAGGTGTTCAGAATACCAAGACTTGAAGCATACCTCTCTGGGGAATCAGATGTTTTTTTAAATCCTGGTGGAAGAGCTGGGCCAAAAAAACCATCATCCTCCTCTTCCGCTGAAGACTGTGTCTGTTTCCTAGAAACCAAACAGTAAAAAGATCATTGTCTCTATTGCAAACAGAAACCCTTAATGACACTGTATATATTTGCAATATAAAAAAAAAAAAAAAAAAGGGTACAAATTCTCTATATAAAAAAAAGGTTTATGTATATGAGGACAACTACATAGATTTAAGCTGCATAGTAAGAGAGTGTCGTACTCCTTGAACAGACAATGTGCAGTTGCTTGCATCCATTTCTGCAGAGATCCAAGAGAATGTAGAAGTGACCTTTAGTGGGAGTACAGCTTATATCATCTATACATTTGCATGTCATTTCAGCAGCACAATGTCTACTAAATATATCACAAAAAGTGATCCCAAAAACTGCTCATGTTCTTTATTTTGAAAACTGCTTTTCAGAGTTGTGTTAAAGTCACCATACTAAATCAAAACACAAAAATAAGACATTTTCCCTATATAATAAATTACATACATTTGCAAGAAAAAGTATGTGAACCCTTTGGAATGATATGAATTTTGGCACAAATTGGTCATAAAATGTGATCTGATCATCATCATCTAAGTCACAACAATAGACAATCACAGTCTGCTTAAACTAATAACACACAAAGAATGAAATGTTGCCATGTTTTTATTGAACACACCATGTAAACATTCACAGTGCAGGTGGAAAAAGTATGTGAACCCTTGGATTTAATAACTGGTTGAACCTCCTTTGGCAGCAATAACTTCAACCAAACGTTTCCTGTAGTTGCAGATCAGACGTGCACAACGGTCAGGAGTAATTCTTGACCATTCCTCTTTACAGAACTGTTTCAGTTCAGCAATATTCTTGGGATGACTGGTGTGAATCGCTTTCTTGAGATCATGCCAAAGCATCTCAATCGGGTTGAGGTCAGGACTCTGACTGGGTCACTTCAGAAGGCGTATTTTCTTCTGTTTAAGCCATTCTGTTGTTGATTTACTTCTATGCTTTGGGTCATTGTAATGTTGCAACACCCATCTTCTGTTGAGCTTCAGCTGGTAGACAGATGGCCTTAAGTTCTCCTGCAAAAGGTCTTGATAAACTTGGGAATTCATTTTTCCTTCGATGATAGCAATCCGTCCAGGCCCTGATGCATCAAAGCAGCCCCAAACCATGATGCCCCCACCACCATACTTCACAGTTGGGATGAGGTTTTGATGTTGGTGTGCTGTGCCTTTTTTTCGCCACACATAGTGTTGTGTGTTTCTTCCAAACAACTCAACTTTGGTTTTATCTGTTCACAGAATATTTTGCTAGTATTGCTATGGAACATGCAGCTCTTGTGCAAACTGTAAACGTGCAGCAATGTTTTGTTTGGACAGCAGTGGCTTCCTCTGTGGTATCCTCCCATGAAATCCATTCTTGTTTAGTGTTTTACGTATTGTAGATTCGCTAACAGGGATGTTAGCATTTGCCAGTGACTTTTGTAAGTCTTTAGCTGACACTCTAGGATTCTTCTTCACCTCACTGAGCAGTCTGCGCTGTGCTCTTGCAGTCATCTTTACACTCCTAGGGAGAGTAGCAGCAGTGCTGAACTTTCTCCATTTATAGACAATTTGTCTTACCGTGGACTGATGAACAGCAAGGCTTTTGGAGATACTTTTATAACCCTTTCCAGCTTTATGCAAGTCAACAATTCTTAATCATAGGTCTTCTGAGAGCTCTTTTGTGCGAGGCATCATTCACATCAGGCAATGCTTCTTGTGAAAAGCAAACCCAGAACTGGTGTGTGTTTTTTATAGGGCAGGGCAGTTGTAACCAACATCTCCAATCTCATCTCATTGATAGGACTCCAGTTGGCGGACATCTCACTCCAATTAGCTCTTGGAGATGTCATTAGTCTAGTAGTTCATATACTTTTTCCACCTGCACTGTGAATGTTTACATGGTGTGTTCAATAAAAACATGGCAACATTTCATTCTTTGTGTGTTAATAGTTTAAGCAGACTGTGATTGTCTATTGTTGTGACTTAGATAATGATCAGATCACATTTTATGACCAACTTGTGCAGAAATCCATATCATTCCAAAGGGTTCACATACTTTTTCTTGCAACTGTATATTTAATATAAAGTTTAGTAATGGTCTGCTACACAATTTGACTATTTTCTTCTTCTTACAATACAATGAAGATTGCTTAAAGAGCCAGTCAATAAAGTGGTCTGGGTGCAATGCTCCTTGCGTTTTAACCCTGCAATGTAATGTAGGAATGGCAATGTTTACATTGCAGAGTTAACACACCTCTTTTGGGTTTCAGGAAGACAGTCACTAGAGGTGCTTTCTCTGCTGTAACTGAGCCAAACTTGGTTATAGATCAAATACTGCTTATAGAGCAGCATGTGATTGCCAAAGCGCAACTTTACTGGATTGGATGAGATCACCATCTTTGGTGACCTTAATCAAGGAGGCGGAACTACAGTTAGAAAAACACTTTAGCGTCAGCAATACATGTTTGTATGCTCCACACTACAGTGTCCCTTTATAGTAAATAATAATTTGGGACTCAGGCTTTTTTATTAAATGAAATGTCATAATTTGAGAGAGATAAAAGAGACCTAAGGATTGGAGTACAAAAAATAAAGTGGAAAGGGAAATGAGTCTTGGAGGCAAAATGTGGCATGGGAAAAGGACTACAGATATAGGGAGGGGAAAGCTGTGCAAATACACTCCTGCAATAACACACATAAATGCAACGGCTCCCCACACATAGAGATAAATAATGCAATTGAGGGATTATGCAGAATTGGCAAACGTCAATACTCAAGTTCCAGAATACTTATTTTTACCAATGCATGCTATTTCCTGCATTTTACTACTTAGTTTTAAACAATGCAGTACTTTGTGAATAAACATCCCAATGTTTTCTGCTTGATGTCGCCATAGAACTGACACCTATTAATGATATTACATTTTACACTGCAAACAGATTAGTTTGAAACATGCTCCTTCACATTAGATGTCACACAAACGGATAAGTGGAAAATGTAAGTTATTTTTACTATTAACCTGTCTTCTTTGCCAACATGGGTACTCTGGTCCCTTTTGTGATGCCATGGGTTGGGTCCTGTGTCCTGTTCACTGTCATCTGATGAATCTGAGCTGGAGGTCTTTGTGTATCCTGGGGGTAATATAGGACCTGCAACTAAACACAGCATATCTAGACTAAGTAAAAGATCAACAATCCACACATAGTGGTGAATGCAGTTATACTGTATATATATCTTTAAATGGATGCTTAAAACAAATTATGAAATCCTAAAAGCAATGCAGGTCTATTTTTGTTTTCCAGCGTGCTTTGGTTTCCAAGCAGTATTAGAAAGAACATTATGTTACCATGCCAACACTCACTAATATGCTTAAGCCAGTGTGGACTGATGGATGGCACAACAATTAAAGTGGTGTTGTGCTGTTATAGAATCTTATCAATTTAATGATGTAATGGGTTTTACGCAGCTTCATCTGATGGACAGACTGAGAAAGGAGGTTGCAATGAACACTAATCACAGTGCCAATTGGCTGTCTCCAGGCCAGAGGCAGAAGGGGAAGATGGATTTGTTTAATTTACATTTGTTCATTATTCTTCATAATAAAATGTGAACAGATCTATTGCATTTAGACCAACAACACATGAGCTAAATATTCTTTCAACGCAAGGGATAAACTTTGCCTTTTAGGGATGTCATATCTTCGTAGAACTTCTAACTTATTATTATTGAAATGTAACAAAAGTGGTTGTGGTTTTCAGAGGTTGTGTGCACCAAATGTGTCAATAATGATAAGCTGCAAGCGACCTTAAGTCGTGTGCAAACTGGCCCTGATGGGAACTGGAAAATCATCTTAAAAGGACACTTACAGTAGGCACCTGAACAACTTTAGCTTAATGAAGCAGTTTTGGTGTATAGACCATGCCCCTTCAGTCTCACTGCTCAATTCTCTGCCATTTAGAGTTAAATCACTTTGTTTATACAATCCTAGTTACACATGCCTGCATTCTAGGTTTCTTTAATTGCAGTCTTTTTGATTTAGAATTTTTCCTGTTATGTTAATAGCCTTATAGAACCTGCAGAAGCCTCACGTGTATGAATAAAGTTCATTTTACAAAGCAGGAGATAAAAATGTCAAAAGAAAGTTAATATCCGATTGAAAATTGAAAAACCATTTGTTTCATGCAGGCTGTGTCAGTCACAGCCATGTGATGTGTGGCTAGAGCTACAGTATCTCACAAAAGTGTGTGTCTTGCCTACAGCCACTCACATTTTTGTAAATATTTTTTCATATCTTTTCATGTGACAACACTGAAAAAATGACACTCTGCTACAATGTAAAGTAGTAAGTGTACAGCCTTTATAACAGTGTAAATTTGCTATCCCCTCAAAATAGCTCAACACACCATTAATGTCTAAACCATTGGCAACAAAAATTAGTACACCCCTAAGTGGAAATGAATTGAGCCCAATTAGCCATTGTCCCTCCCCAGTGTCATGTGACTCATTAGTGGTACAAGGTCTTAAGTTTGAATAGGGAGCAGGTGTGTTAAATTTGGTGTTTGGCCACACTCTCTCAAACTGGTCACCGAAAGTTCAACATGGCACCTCATGGCAAAGAACTCTCTGAGGATCTGAAAAAAAGAATGGTTGCTCTACGTAAAGATGGCCTAGGCGATAAGAAGATTGCCAAGACCCTGAAACTGAGCTGCAGCATGGTGGTTTCACAGGACAGGTTCCACATGGCTGTCGTCCCAGAAGGATGCCTCTTCTAAAGATGATGCACAAGAAACCCTGCAAACAGTTTGCTGAAGACAAGCAGACTAAGGACATGGATTACTGGAACCATGTCCTGTGGTCCGATGAGACCAAGATAAAGATATTTGGTTTAGAGAGAGTATCAAGTGTGCGTGGCAACATCCAGATGAGGAATACTAAGTGTGTCTTGCCTACAGACAAGCATGGTGGTGGGAGTGTCATGGTCTGGGCCTGCATGAGTGCTGTCGGTATTTGGGAGCTATATTTCATTGAGGGAACCATGAATGCCAACATGTACTGTGACATACTGAAGCAGAGTATGATACCCTCCCTTCGGAGAGTGGGCTGCAGGGCAGTATTCCAACATGATAAGGAACCCAAACTTACCTCCAACACGACCAATGCCTTACTAAAGAAGCTGAAGGTAAAGGTGATGAACTGGCCAAGCATGTCTCCAGACCTAAACTCTATTGAGCATCTGTGGGACATCCTCAAATGGAATGTGGGGAGCGCAAGGTCTCTAACCAGCTCCGTCATGTCATCATAGAGGAGTGGAAGAGGACTCCAGTGGCAACCTGTGAAGCTCTGGTGAACTCCATGCCTATGAGTGTTAAGGCAGTGCTGGAAAATAATGGCGGCCACACAATATATTGACACTTTGTGCCCAATTTGGACATTTCCACTTAGGGTGTACTTACTTTTGTTGCCAATGGTTTTGACATTAATGGCTGTGTGTTGAGTTATTTTGAGGGGAAAACAAATTTACATACAGGCTGTACACCTACTACTCTGCATTGTAGCAGAGTGTAATTTCTTCAGTGTTGTCTCATGAAAGAAAATATAATAAAATATTTACAAAAATGTGAGGGGTGTACTCACTTTTGTGAGACACCGTATATAAAGAGAAACAAAAGTGATTTAACGCCTGAAGGGCAGAAATTTGAGCAGTGAGACTGCAGGGACATAGTCAATACACTCAAACTGCTTCATTAAGCTAATGTTGTATTGATACATATAGTGTCTCTTTAAACACTGCACTAGCAGCATTGACAACACAATCCATAAATGTTGCAAATAAAGTAACTACTTTTTACTATATTGCAATCCCCTCTTATGAGATGTGTATGCACAGGAATTTTACCGAAAGATTAGCGGTAACAGGTAAAATATTCTCAGCACACAAACATTATATGGAGGCTTTATGTTGTACAACAGAAACAAGAATCCCTGCATACAGGTTCCGCCTGCAAATTCCGGCCCTCTGTTGTGAGGGTGCTCCGTGCCAATGGTGGACAACGCTGAATGCACCAGAATACTCACAGAAGCAGAAGGACACAGGCAACACTCCAGGGTCAAGAAGGTAAGTTTATTTCTGGAAACACCACCTCATAAAGTGCAACGTTTCAGGTCAACAGAGGTGGTGTTTCCAGAAATAAACTTACCTTCTTGATCCTGGAGTGTTGCCTGTGTCCTTCTGCTTCTGTGGCCTTGATGTGTCAGTCAGCAACCATTGTACAGTGATTTTTTTTCTAACCTAGTTAAGCTAGAATGTTAAAGTTAAGCTACAATATAAATGCATGCTAATGTCTATCGATGTGTCTGGAGCTTAAAAAACGTGCTCCGTTGTCATGGCAAATAGGAATTTTGTCCTGGTGCCTGGGTATTTGTCAGCACGTTCCCTCTGATGTGCCCAGCTGAGGCAGGCAGCAAGCAATGCAGACGGGAGGCCCAGCAAGGAAGGAGCTGCAATCTTCCTGCTCTCCTTGCTCTGCTCCTTCACACACCATATCTGGCCGAGGCACCACTAAAGACTGCACAAACAAGCAAAGCAGAAAGATTACAGCAGCCATTGCTTTTCATAAAAACATGACAGCATACATAAGTCTCTGAAACTTGTCTCAATGTGTCACCATATACAAGGGCTGCAGTTATGGAGGCCTCAAGAGGACCAGCTGCCTTCAAGTCCAGTAGGAGCTCAACTAAAAAGCAAGTAAAAATCTTTTTTTTTTTCACATAACAAGTAACACAAAAACAAGCCAAAAACAAGCCTTCTAGCTGTTCCAAAGGTAGGGAGGCTGGGTGGGCTTAATTTAAAAAAATAAAAATACAATGATGATTTGAGAGTGTGTGTGTGTGTCTCTCTAGGTCAGTTGTTCCCAACCTTTTTTTTTTTTTTACTTGTGCACCCGTTGGCAGCCACTTTTCATAAATTATACCCCTCATAGTTGCAAAATGTTTGTAATTATGAATTAAATAGGTTTGTCTCTCCTGCAGAGATAAATAGATAGATATAGTTTATACAGTGCAGATACACAGACACAGGTAGAAACACTGACATACATACACAAAATCACAAAGATACAAACAATGACACACACATAGATGTACACAAACAGATATACAAACACTGCCACACATGCAAAGATCACAGATACAGGATACAAAACACTGCCACACATACAGTTGCACAGACACACTGACACACAGATAGAAAACACAGACAGACATGCAGATATAGACACAAGATACAAACACTACCACACATGCACAAACACTGACACACATTCAGTTGCACAGGCACACATGCAGATACACAGATACAAACACTGACACACATACAGATCCTGCCACGTATACAAGTGTAGACACAGATATAAACACAGAAACACATGCAGACACACAGATACAAAACACTGACATGCATGCAGATCCACAGATACAAACACTGACATGCATGCAGATACACAGATACAAACACTGACACACATAGAGTTGCACAGAAACACACGTAGATACAGATACAAACAATGACTCACATACAGCAGACTCACATGCAGATACACAGACACACAGATACAAACACTGACACACATGCAGATACACAGACACACAGATACAAACACTGACAGACATGCAGACAAACAGACACATGTGGATACACAGATACAAACACTGACACACATACAGATACACAAAACAATGACATACACAGATACAGACACCAAAAGCACACAATTTAAAATGTTAGCCACCCTCCTGTTCTCTACCTTTTTGGTGCAGGCTTTGCTGGCTGGGTCTGTTGTAAGTTGGGGGCTTGCTCCTCTCCAGGTCCAGCCCTCCCCCTCCTCTGTTTCCCACACAGCTGGATCTGTGTAAACTGGGATGAAGTGACCAACTCACTTCCTCCCAGCACTCCCTGCTGATTAGGGCCCGGTCAAGTTGCTGTCAGTGACAGTTTTGGAAAAGGTGACAGTGTGAAGGAATATGACAGTATAAGGGCAGTATGTAGAAGGGTGACAGCATTTGGGGGGAGGCAGTATGGAGGGTCAGTGTGTAGGAGGGTTACAGTATGTTCGGGGACAGTGGTTGGGATGTGGGAGAATGACTATGCGGAAGGAGGTAGTATTTGAGCAAGGTGTCAGTGTGGATTGGCTTTGTTTTGGGTAGGGTGTCAGTGGGGAGGGTGACAGTGTGGATTGGCAATGTGTGGAAGATAACAGTGGGGAGAGTGACAGTGTGGATTGGCAGTGTGTGGGAGGGGGACAGTGGGAATTTGGGGGCAGGAGTGATCTTCACTTAAATACCATTTCCATCCATGGACTAAAAAGGAGATCTCTTATCTGTTTGGGATCCCACCATTTGTAGAAAGACCAGTGTGTGTCACACACTGGGGCATGATCTCCTCTCTCCCAGACTGCATGTGTGGGTCAGCGCGACCCACTGAGAATCACCCTGCGACCCACCAGTGGGTCGTGACCCACACTTTGGGAACCGCTGTACTAGAGGACACTTTTGCACACAGTGCAGGTCTACTTTATAATCAATGTTGCCTTGCAAGATGCACATATCAAAATTGTCTCTAATATATGGTATTGTGTACTTTGTCATGATTCCCTTTTATTCCAGAAGTTAGGTCCTTAAGGGGTTAAGGGAGCATACGTTTTCTGTTAACATTTTGATGGACGGAGCTTATATTCTGTTGCATAACTTGTGCACACAGGAGTTGTAAAACATATGGTTGTCCTAAACTGTATGGTTAATTTACTTAACATAGATTTGTGGTGTATTGAAGAATTAATTGCAAAATCCAGGATAAAATAGGCAAGCTCAGATGCTATAATTGTCATTTATTTTGGTCTAATGTTTGCCACAATTCTCTGTCTAGTGAATAAACGCTAGTGTGACTTAACCAAATTTTTTACAAAGTTAGGACCAGATGGTCATATACTACACGTATGTATATATAACCATTGTGCAGCAATGTCTACGGAATTTGTTGGCGCTATATAAATAATATATATTTTTTATTATTGTAGCCTATAAAGGGATAAAATACCAACAGAAGTTCTACAACGTGACTCCTACATTTGTCAAGCCTCAAACACAAAGCACCGCGCTTACAGCAGCAGTAGCTTAGTATCCAACAGCTTAAAATACATAGTAAAAACCAAGAGAACGTTACCTGCGCTCTGGCCTAAATCCCCATGTACATTTAAACAAAATGGAGGCTCTTTAGTTTTATTCCAATGGCCTTTCATTCCTGTCTTACTGGAGATTCTTGGCTGATATCAGCATATCTAATGGCTAGTGTAGGAACTCACCTATTGAGGCTTGTCTTAACGTGGCAGGTGAGCTTATATATTTAAATGGCCATTGGAATAAAACTAAAGAGCCTCCATTTTATTTGTCAAGCCTGCTTTACAGACTAAGGATATGTAAACTTGGCTCACCATCTGGAAGTATTACTTTACTGAGAGGGTAGTGGATGCATGGAATAACATTCCAGCTGAAGTGGTAGAGGTTAACACAGTAAGGAGTTTAAAGGACCACTATAGTGCCAGGAAAACATACTCGTTTTCCTGGCACTATAGTGCCCTGAGGGTGCCCCCACCCTCAGGGTCCCACTCCCGCCGGGCTCTGGAGAGAGGAAAGGGGTTAAGCTTACCTTTTTTCCAGCGCCGGGCGGGGAGCTCTCCTCCTCCTCTTCGGTTAAATGTGCATCAGGAGCTGCGTGCGCATTCAGCGGGTCTCATAGGAGAGCATTTACAATGCTTTCCTATGGACGCTGGCGTCTTCTCACTGTGATTTTCACAGTGAGAAGCACGCAAGCGCCTCTAGCGGCTGTCAATGAAACAACCACTAGAAGATTTGGAGGCTGGATTAACCCATTTATAAACATAGCAGTTTCTCTGAAACTGCTAAGTTTATTTAAAAAAAAAAAAAAAAAAAAGGGTTAACCTTAGCTGGACCTGGCACCCAGACCACCTCATTAAGCTGAAGTGGTCTGGGTGCCCAGAGTGGTCCTTTAAGCATGCGTGGGATAGGCATAAGGCTATCCTAACTATAAGGTAAGGCTAGGGACTAATGAAAGTATTTAGAAAATTGGGCAGACTAGATGGGCCGAATGGTTCTTATCTGCCGTCACATTCTATGTTTCTATGTTTCTCCAGGTGTTTCAGGTTTCCTCCATCCTGCTAAGCTCACTGTTACTAGCTACGTTCGCCAGTAATGCGGTCCCCACGTTACGGCCGCTCTCACCTTCCTCTGGTTTCTCCTGCTCCTCGCGGTTCTGGAATCCTGGCGGCAGAGCTGGACCGATCACCTCCCGGGACATCTTCAACCTGCTGCTGGCTCGCTACTACGTCACTGAAACGCGACACCGCTTCCGGCGCACAGCTGTCGCACGCCGGGTCCCAGCTGAGCTAACACCGGAACCGGGCTGACACCGCACGTAGGCCACTTGAAACCAAGAGGCAAAAGTATCTTTACTGCCCCGTGAAACGCAAGTCTGGTTGCTATAGAAACCGTTTGCGCTTGTTAACACGTGACTGCTTTTTTGGGCAGCCATCTTTGATTTGGGCGTACAAATACATATGTAAACTTTAAACTGTTTTCGGTTTATAATGTCAGGACAAGGAAAGTTAGTTTTCGCCATAAACCCCTGATTTAACATTCAGCACCAGGACTAACAACTCGAGTTGTTACGATCTTGCGAGTTTATCAGGATTGTGGTTTGCCCTAATTAAATATGGCGTCCCACGTGTGTCACCCGGAAGAGACTCTTTCCCAGAGCACGCTGTAAGTGTGCGAGTGTAGCTCAGGCATGGAAAACAGCTCAACTTATCCAGCTCCCTTTCTCCGACCCCCAGTATTTACAGGAACACCACCACCACCACCACCTACTAGCCAATGGCTACATGGATCAACACATTCATCACCTACAAACCAGTGGCCACCTGGACCATCACCTTCAGCACCTAATAACCATTGGCCGCCTGGTCCACCACCACCTCCTGGACCTTGGTATGGAGGCTGGAACCAGTGGCCCCCACAATATAATCAGTCCTATTACCCCACGCAGTATTCAGGTGAGTTAATAGCCCGTTGCAATGAAAGTCTTTCTTGTATCTTGAAGCATTATTAAAACTTACAGAATATTCAATCATTTTATAAACGCCCAGTCCTTTTGTAAACAGCGTTTGTTTGCTTTATAATAACTAGATATGGTTAGAAACATTAGTGTCAATTGGCTTTAAATATAACTCTAAATTAGGAGCCTAAAATAAAAAATGATACGGAAAATACTTTGTCGATATAATAATTCACTGTGTTCTGATTGAGGAAAGAGCAGCTCTGCTGGGTTAATGGGGTACAGTTGCAAAGTGTAGTGGTTATGGTGCTGCATAACCACCCATTTTATTAAAGGGATTCTGAGCATTTTGGCAAAACAGAGTGCGCTCTGTAAATTTGGGAAATATAGATCTTCTAAACCAGTGTCAATATAATAGCATTTTTGTTGTAGCGACATTGATCAGGTGAGACATCTCTTACCTAGGTGACTGCTGAAATGTCTTTAAGGGAGCATACGTTTTCTGTTAACATTTTGATGGACGGAGCTTATATTCTGTTGCATAACTTGTGCACACAGGAATTGTAAAACATATGGTTGTCCTAAATTGTATGGTTAATTTATTTAACATAGGTTTGTGGTGTATTGAAGAATTAATTGCAAAATCCAGGATAAAATAGGCAAGCTCAGATGCTATAATTGTCATTTATTTTGGTCTAATGTTTGCCACAATTCTCTGTCTAGTGAATAAACGCTAGTGTGACTTAACCAAATTTTGGACTTTGAAACGGTAATGACCTCTGTAATCAATTTTAAGGTCTGCATTTTATCTTATATTGATACTAAATTATAGGAATATTCCACGGTTAGTAAACATTACAGCGTGTTGAAATGGTTATGGTGTCATGACTGCCATGTAACTCTTATGGTAAAGAGTCACTGTTTTAGAATGGCTTGCACCACGTCTAGGAAATCTAACCGAAGCTCCTAAGCAGGAACATTCGGCTCTCAGTGAGCTTAGAGGATGTGGAGAGCGGTCCCCAGGTAAGGCCATACTAATCTGTTGTCATGGTAACACCTTTCTTTTCATGACACCATTAGCACCATGATCATTACAGCACTCTTTACGGGTTATTGTGCTTGAAGTATCTGTGTTTTGTCTAGTAAATGCCATTTTTAAAATCTATTTTTTTAAAGGAAAGTCTCAAACTAATAAGGAACATTGAACCTGTGTGTGCAATCCATATGCAAGACTTTAAGCTCATGAGAACGGTTGGTATACTCAGAACAGTGTTATGATTTAATGGACTGGACTTCAGATGCTCATGATCACGATTCATTTTCAAGTAATCAAACTGGTTTGAAAATTCCTTAACCAAAACCATGAGATTGCACTATCATCTCTAGTGAATGATTATGGTGTTCGGCTTGTCACTAGTAAGGTGTTCGATTTCAACTCAGATTGTGCTTTATGATAAATGTGTAAAATGCACATGTGTGGGTTTTTGGGTTTGAGAAACAAAGATCTTAATCTTTTTGCGGCTTTATGCCGTTTTCACATAACGGGTCATAACATTTTTATATCTTCTAATATGCAAATACAGTTACGAAGCACAATGGCTCCAAGAGGTACTACACTAATAGTTTCTGATTAAGTTTATTGCCTTTTATAAAAGCTTGATCTGAGCACCACACGTTTTCTCATTTAATTTTCACAGCATATTGTTGTTGCATGTTAAATACTTGCTGTGCTACTTATGACATAACCATAGCATCCAGGAAGCTTGTGACTTGAAATATCATCCAAATTACCTGAATGCATTTAATGAGAAATGTCATCGAATTTCAGAACATTCTAAACCAGCGTTCCTATTCTACTGTTGGAAAAGAAATGTGTTTCCATGACAACAGATTAGTGGAATTTAAGCAATTTGTATATGTGCTAAAAGATGGCTTTAGAGAACTAGTTTAATAAATGACATAATTTCTTTGTACTTGTTATATTTTTAGGTGGACCTGGATATTATGGCCATGAAAGTCACAAGCAAGATGGAAATGGGACCACTATTTCAGATGGTCAGTTTGAGATGAGAGGACACAAGGTAAGCTACAAAGCGCCTGCGGCTCCGTATTGAACACCTCCTGCATGAAGGGACACTTCGGACTGGAATTTACCCCTTTCACTAATCCAAAACCGAGAAAGTGTTCCAATGCAAAAATACTTGCCTATACATTTCCTTCGTTTCCTGCAAATCCAATGCTTGTAGTGACATTTGCAAAGAATGGCACGTGACTGGTTTTACAGCCAGTCATAGTCCTCACATTGGCTTCAGAGGGCCACTCCACACACATAAAACACTTCTGCTTGTGTCTCAAGTTTGTTACATTTGTGTCAGTTTATAAAAGTGCTGATTTTCATAGAAATCAGCACTTTTATAACTGCAGGCAGAAGCACTGCCATATTGTGCTTGCTCCATGGAGGGTGCAGCTGTCTTCCCCCTCCCCTTCTCAATGACCTGTATTACAGCTTATTGGGAAGCATTTGAACACCATGATTGTTCATGGCTCCAGCACAGAGGTTTCTGAATGAGAAGCCCCTTGCAAAGGCTGCAGTTCTTATATATTTTCTCCTTCATGGATTAATTGAATAAGAAGCATTTACAACTGTTCTTGCAAATGGGAAAGATGCACTTTACAGAAAAAGCAGGGATTCTGGGAAGTATAGTAGTAAATGCACATTATATACCATATTTCTGTTATTGGTTAAACTCCTTGGTGTACCATATTCAGTCACAATTTTGAACTCAAATGGAACTATATTTTTACTTTTTACAGGGTTATTCATTAGGGTTAGACTTCAAAGTGAATTTCAAATTCATACTTTAGTTAATAGTTGTTAGCTCATTTTGAATTTGTGTTTTCAACAAGTCAGAGCCAAAAATAACAAACTGACCTAAAATGTTTTGAAAGTAGGCATCTTATACAGACATAACTTTTTAACCATTTAATTTCACTTGTCTACATTGTTTCACACAGTTATTTCCCATTTGATTAGGAAGTGGCGGTAGGGGGAATTAAAACCGTTCCTCTGAGCTATTGGGATTGCTGAAATTGCAGTTTTATTTTATAAAAAAAAAAAAATGTGCTCAATTTAAAGTTGTAATTTATATTTGACCTTTCTTTTATTAGAGAAAACAAAAAAAGGAACCTGTTTACACACACTATTGTGACACTTGTGACCGTGGCTTTAAGAACGTGGAGAAATATAATGAACACATTTCACAGCATGTTAAGGTAAGGCAGAGCATGATGTGCTGTGTGCTAGTTTAGTGTCTAACAAATCTTGACATTTAACATTTATTCAATATTAAGTTGTTTTTTTCCACATTTTTCTATTTATAATTTACGCGTAATCTGATTAGATATACTGCTACTTTTTTTTTTTTTTTTTTTCTCTTCTTACTGTAATACTAGCCACACTTGATTTTTTTTTCATGTGTCTTATTTTGTAGTCCTGTGATCAGGTTAATTATAAGTCTGTCATAACTCTTCTCATTAAGGGCCTATTTGAATGATCTCTTTTTAGAAAATAATTTTTGCTCTCAAGAATTAGGGATTATTCTAGCCCTAGTGACTGAATAATCTAAATTTTATTAACGACAGGAGGCGAATATTTGCTTATCTTTCTTTACTGAACCTCCCAGCAGCAAAGAAATAGTTAACATTAGTGTAAAAACAATTCAACCAATCAGAGTGTATAACAGTATTATATGATGTCATCAAACTCCTCCCAAGTCCTCTTTCTTGCTGTAGCCGACGATATCCGAGTATCAACCATGTAAACTATAACTATGAACCGTGACCAATCCAAGGTCCTGATGTAGTCAGCCATGTAAACTTTCAACGGGATTGATGAATCCATATATCACAAGCGTTGGGATTCTTCACACTAAAGGGAAGTAGAGAAAAAAACCATGAGAGTATAGGTTCTCATACTAGTTGAATGCAAGTTTATGGCATGCATACTAGGGACAGCAATTTCAATAGATTTCATGTAAAATGATGTTGAGTATGTCAAACTCTTGGTGTTGTGGTGTAAACCTATGACAGATGATGTGTGAATGTGTTTGAAACAGATCGACTAGAATTTTTTCTTTTTTTTCTTTAGAAACTTACCTTAGGGCGGGTACAAATGATAATGAAAAACAAAGAAGGGAGGGAAAATATTTGCCTCCTGTCGTTAATAAAATTTAGATTATTCAGTCACTAGGGCTAGAATAATCCCTAATTTTATGGCAAGACAGGAGGCTTCATATTTGCTGTTTTAACGCTCTTATATGATAGAAGATGCAGCATGTGGCATAGGTTTGATATAGAATGTACGAAAGGTGGATTCACTGGTCCAATCTGCAGATGACAATGTCTGAGAGGGAACTACCCGCACGAAAGGCTGAGGATGCAGCTGCTCCTCTGACTGAATGCGTTCCAAAAGAGGAGTCAATACCTGCTTGGGCTAGTATCCATCTGATCCGCGCGACGGTGGGAGCAGACACCGGTTTGTGTGGTCTGACATAGGAAACGAGAAGGGGTCCTGTAGGGGAACGCAGAGTGGTTGTGGCATCTATATAGTGCCTTACACAGAGCGCCACGCAAAGCGACTGTCTATTCGGAAAGTAAGGGTAGAATACAGAGGAGGAATTAGTCTTTGTTCACCTGGTGATGTGAAATTTAACGCCCTCAGGCGAAAAAATTACAGCGTGGAAATCAAATGCTCGAATGTCGGAGACCCTACGGAAGGATACCAGACATAGGAGTAAGGCCAGTTTGGCAGAGAGTTGACGTAACGTCAAATTCTCATTAGAGGGCCAGGAGTCTAAAAGGGAAAAAATCTGAGTGACGTCCCAGAAATTGGAATATCTTGGAAGAGGGGGTCTGGCTAGCCTGATCCCTCGTAAAAGTCTACAAACTTAAGGGTGTTTTCCTATTGATGCATTGTCAATAGGGTTGTGGGCCGCAGAAATAGCAGATCTAAAAACAATAATTGATCTATAGGACTTGCCTTGATCAAAGAGAGTAGATAGAAAATTTAGGATGATCGTCAGAGATGCTGAAAAGGGATCGGTATCCCTTACCAAACACCAGCTGACCCATGTCCGCCATGCAGCGAGGTAAGCTCTTCTTTTGTCTGGGGCCCAGGAGTCCCATAGGAGGGCCTGAGCTGTCTCCGAAAGTCCTGAGACATTCTAGGAGAAGCTAGAGCTGCCCTTGAAGGGCGAGTGGGTGACAGCGCCCTGCTGGATTTTTGAGGATGTCGGGGGATTGAGGTAGTAGAATTGGACAATTTACAGACAGTTCAAGCAGGGTTGGAAACCAAGTCTGGGCTCTCCATAGCTGAGTGACAATAACTATCGTCACTACTAGGGCTTTGACCCGGTAAAAGGTGCGCTGGATCATGGAGAAAGGCGGTAACGCATAAGCTCCTGTCTCCGGCCAAGGGTGTAGGGAGGCATCGACTGCTCAGGACTGGGGATCTGGGAGCCAGCTGAAAAAGGCCTTCGTCTGGTGATTCAGCCGAGACGCGATCAGGTCCAGTGTGAGGGGCCCGCGAAGACAATGAATTTGATAGAACAAGCGGTCGCTTACGTCCCTCCAATGACGAGAGAACCAATCTGCGACTAGGTTGTCCATGCCCGGAAGATATTCCGCTCTGATGGATAAATTCCACTCTAGGCAGAATTGGTAGAGTTCCTTGGTAAGGTCGGACAGTAATTTGGATCGGGAACCTCCTAACCAATTCACATAACGCACTGCAGAGACGTTGTCCATGCGCAGTACTAGTGAACAATTGAAACAATCTTTTGCGAAACTGCGAATCGCAAAAGATCCTGCAATCAATTCTAGTCAATTGATGTGCAGTGCTTGTTCGGAGAGGGACCATAGTCCCCCGGTGGACCTTTCGGCGCACATAGCGCCCCACCCCAAGAGACTGGCATCGAAGTCTGGTTGTGATCCGAAAATGGCTTTGCCATTCCAGGTTTCCATGTCGTGAAGCCACCAATGAAGTTCTATACAGACTTCGTCTGTTAGGTAGATCAGTTGGTCGTAGAAGGTGGACCGGTTTAGATAGTAAGTCTTGAGCCGTTGCATGGTTCTGTAATCTAGGGGTCCTGGATAAATGGCTCGGATAGAGGCAGACAGGCCTATGGTATGAGCCAGATCGCATAGGCGAATCTGGTGGGTTGATAGCAATTTGCAAATGTCTTTCTTTATAGCCTTGACCTTTGTAGAAGGTAGTTGTAAAATCGCCTGTATGGAGTCTTTTAGGAATCCGCGAAACTGAACTTTCTGAGAAGGTTCCAGGTCCGATTTTTGAAAGTTGATTACAAAACTTAGGTTTTGTAATAAGGCCGTCGTCATGTCCGTGTGTTGACGTAAAAGGTCTGGATCTTGAGCCATTATCAGGATGTCGTCCAAATATACAATGGAACAAATCCCCTGTGATCGGAGTAGCGCCATTACTGGTTTCATCAGCTTTGTGAATCACCATGGTGCGGAAAAAAGACTGAACGGGAGGCATGTGAACTGCCAAATTTCCTCTTGCCAGAGGAATTGAAGAAAAGCCCGATGGTTGCGGATCTGGATAACCAGTCTCCCATGCAAAGGAGGTCCCTGAGGAGATGGATGCCCTCCATTTTGAAATGATGATATCTGACATAGTGATTAAGGTCTTTCAAATTGATTATTGGACGCACGTCTCCAGATTTTTTGTGGACCAGAAAAATATTGCTTAGAAAGGTATGTGGGAAGGGTGATCTTTCTATCGCCCCTTTTTCCACCAGTTTGTTCAATTCTGTGTGTAATGCCAGGTTGTCTGTTGCAGACATCTGAAATGGTGTAGGTGGTGTGTCCTGGAAGGGAGTGGAAAGGAAATCTATTTTGAACCACTTGACTGTGTGTAGGATCCATAGATCCTGTGAAAGCAGTTCCCACTGTTGGAAAAAATGGGTTAGTCGACCTGCTATAGGTACATTGAAAAAAGGAAGGTTTATTACCTGGAGCAGTGCGTCCGCGTAAGGAGGCAGATCCACGTCCCGAATGGATCCTCTATTGGTGAATAACTGCCTGTGGTAGGGTCGACGGGGTCCCGAGTTCCAGTAGTTTTCTGAGGGACGAGGCCTGTAGCCTGTGAAGGCAGCTCTGCTGTTCATTCGGCCTCTATAATGTCCAGCTCTCCCAGAAAAACGACCTGACTGGGATCGAAATACCCTGCATAGGAAGGATTGGGCCTTGTTTAAGGTAATAAATACCGCTGCACGCTTGGACAGATCTCTCATGAAAGAGTCCCCAAATAACAAGCCATTGGCTTCTGGTCCCAGTTCTCGGGAGCTTAAGTCTGCTAATTTAGCATTGAGTCTATATAGTGCCGCCCTACGTCTCTCAGTGGATATAGCCACATTTGCATTGCCCAGGAAACATGGGGCTCTTTGGGCCCATTCTCGGACTGTGTGAGGGTCAAACTCCCCACTAGTTATAGCTTTGTCAGCTAGTATGAAAATTATATCCAGGAGCTTGTCCTGGGCTGTCTTAAGACCTTGCTCAATACCTTTGCGAGGGTCTTTCCCTGTTTTAGTGAGGAGGGTCACAAATAGCGGGTCAAACTCTGGCGTGAGAGCCACTTTACTTGGTATAGTTGGCCGAGGGCATTCGGCTCTGAGTTTAGCCCTTATTTCTTTTTCAAGGGGCTTACTCAGCCACATCTTGCAAAAATTAGAGATGTGGTCAGGTGGGGCCCATTCGGCCGAACGTGGATGTCTAATGACCCTAGGGTCGAAAAAAGGGACACGGAGGCATCCAGAAGGGTGTCTGAGTTGGGTCCCTTGGGCATAGAGATGTTTGCATCTGTGTCCTTTTGGTAATGAATGTCTCCTTGACAAATTCTGATGGGGTATCCCCTAGCGCATTCGCCGAGGGGTCCTCATTAGAATAGCCAAGGTAGTAATCCTCAACCCCATCGCCCATTTGAGAAGTGGAACCCTCCAAGGGGTCGAATATAGTTTGGGCGGGGCGAGTGACAGTTAATTTTTGGGACTTGGCAGGAGCCTTGCCCTTGCCCGCAGACACACTATTCCCTTTCCAAGGACGTGTGACCTCCTGATCCAAGGGCTGAGAGTCCTCTGAGTCAGAGAGTAAATGTGCGGTGGGATTGCCTTCGCCAGGAGTCTTTTCATGGAAGGCTGCTAACGCCTTGGGGATGGATTCAGAAATGGTTGAAACCAGCCAAGCTTTAAGTTCTTGAGAGATTGCGGGCTCAGTATTGTCAGACATTTTAATTAGCACTGTATTAGTGATTCTGACAAATAGTCGTAAGACAAGAATGTTAAATGGGGTTCACCCAATTGTGCTTAGTAAAATTTCTAAGTAGGAGGTCACCCAAATAAGCGTAGTTTGATATATAAGGGCGGCACACAATATATAGTGGGGTAGACCACTAAATTATATAAGTGGATTGTACCACTGTAACAATAAGAACTGGGGTTCACCACTCAGTAGTCAGACTTTTAAGAGTATGTCTGTAAAATATTTAATAAAGTGTGGGGTCACTTTAAATAATATATTATTTGCAAAGGTGAGGGTCACTCACTTGTAGTAATGGTGTTGAGACACCTGTCATAAATTGATTAGAAAGTGAATAAAAGGTGGGGGTCACCCACAACAACATTCAATGAATCAAGTGACAAAGAAAAATGTGGGGGTCACCCACAAGGCTGTCCTTTATTTAATAATGATAAGATACAGCAGGTATTTTCCTGTCAAGAAAAACAAATAGGTACAAAGAATAATTTGGAAAAAGGTGGTAGCCCTTTAAGGGTGCTATGAGCAACAAGTAAATAAGATACTTACCGGATCCAACGTGAGGTGAAGCGATCGCACATAAATAACAAGGTAAACCGCGGTTTAAGATGGCCGCCACCAGCAAAAGGGCGGGAGGAAGTGCGTCAGGTAATTGCAGGCGCGAGAAGGCGGGATCTGAGAAAGGGCGCGAAATTGAGCCGCGGACTCCTGGGAATCAGAATCGAGAGGAAACCGCGGCCACAAATGTAATAAAATCGCAGAGGCAAACCCCGACGATTTTTAAAGGGGAACAATGGAGATAAAGTTTAAAAACTGTTCAGAGACGTAAATAAACCAACATGTTAGGTATAATTATATGTAGTAAGGGTATTGTGTACTGATAATAAATTGTGTGAGAAACGAGTGAAAATGAATGTTTGATAAACAAAACATTACCACAGAAAATTATTTGAAAATGATAATAGAGATATGGGTGCTATAAAATTTAACAAATTAATGAGAAAATTAGTTGAAATATTGCATTAAAGGCAAAAACCATAAGGCAATATAATTGGAGCAGACTCACCTGGGAGGCAAGCAGCAAAGAAAGAGGACTTGGGAGGAGTTTGATGACATCATATAATACTGTTATACACTCTGATTGGTTGAATTGTTTTTACACTATTGTTAACTATTTCTTTGCTGCTGGGAGGTTCAGTAAAGAAAGATAAGCAAATATGAAGCCTCCTGTCTTGCCATAAAATTCTTCAATTACAGACTAAAGCTTTAAAATAAACAGCACTTCTACTCTCATTCCCCAATACATCAGTGTATTGAAAGTAAATATTCAAGTAGTTGTAGTCCCAGCCATGTCAGCCTGTATTTTATATACTCTTCCCTGATGGCCTGGACAGAGACCTCCTTTTGGGATTAATCCGTAGTTCCTAACATCTGAATCAGAATCCAAATTGTGTCCCATTGCTACATTAGTGAGTCAACAATGGCACATTAGATTTGTCAGGCCCCACACAGCTCATTGCAGTAGATAGTTTGCTGTATGACAATGCCTACACTAGTGTAATACATCCTCATATACATGACTTGGTTTTGGATCTGTGAGTTAGTCTTCCAATTGATCCATCATAACTTGTGCTCATGTAGTGTCCAAATTTAATCTCAATGGTGGTAAAAAAAAAAAGCTTATAAGCAAAGGGAAAATGTTCCAATCCCTGGCATTAGATTTTATTAATTTTATCTTTGTTAGACAGTTGTACCAATGCTTGTTTCATGTCTGTCTGATGGGCAATGCTAATTTTGCTGTATTTACAGTGTGAAGTAGATGGCTGCAGGTTCAATGCCCATGAGAAATTGGTCCAGATCCACTGGAAAAATGTAAGTTGACAATTTTTTTTTTTTTTTTTCATGTTCACACAAATTACATTTTTCTGAATTGTCTATTATTACTAATTTAACATAGTAGTCATTCCATGGTGCCCACACTTTTTTAAAATGAAGAGATGGTATTATGGACTATTGCTGTTAGGTGGACCACAAGGTGGTTTTCCTGTATTTTGGTCTTTATCTCGCCAATCGATAGACCTGAGCTTCCCAACCAAGCTGCGGCAAGTGTTATCCTCACAGCTACTTTGTTAAAAAGCTTCTGTTCTTCTCAAAAAAAACCTCAAAGGGGTGAAACAAGAGGAACAGCCAATGTTCAAAACTAAATGTCCTCTGAAAGATTGCTCCCAATAACTCTCATACCGCTTTCCGAAAGGGGACCACCGCCAGGCATGTCCAAGACATACGGTAGTAAGATCCCTTCTGACCACACATCTGCTAAGAAACATCTGTACCCTTTCGACCCAAAATATACAGTTGCACGGAGTCGTGTGCCATGGACATAGGATTTTGTTCCTGGGATACACATGCTGAATCCCCCTTAGCAGCCTCCCAAGAATCCCCTTCCAATACCTCCCCTATATCCTGTTCCCATTGGGTCATGTAACACAGAGTACCCCAAGTTGTGGATTTGGAACAAATGTAGTCATCAATTAGTGAAATGAGACCCTTCTGATAGGAACCCTGTAGACAGATGGTTTCATAAAACACAAATTGAGTTTCGGCAGCTTTTCTAACGGTATATTTTTGCGCTAAATCTCTTATTTGAATACATCTGAAATGGTTTTTACTATTCAGGGGAAATGTGGCCTGTAAATCCTGAAAGGAGACCACAGAGGATTCTCTCCATAGATGAATGTTTCACTAAATTCACAAGAGTCCTTCAGTTCTGCTAGTGCAATACATATGATAATTGGATTCTTTCATTTAAGAGTGCGTTTTTATTTGTGGCCATGTCAGGGAACTTTAATAAAATTCATAGCATTTACATTTTCTTATTTTTAACCTTTTTTCTTTTCTTTGTTTCTCAAAGATGCATGGTCCTGGAGCAAAGAAAATAAAACTTGATACACCTGATGAAATTTCGAAATGGAGAGAAGAAAGAAGAAAGTAATTTCCTGATACCATAAACATACCATATTTATACAATATCTATATCTTGTGCTGTGGGTTTGCAATCTAATTATGAATAGAACTATTTAGGAAGCACATAATTTGATTAAAGGTTTATTGTTTAATTATAATTATTTCTAGTCTTGCTCACAGCTATTGCAAAGATAGAACTATTGCACATCCTACATGATCTCAGTTTCGCTTTATTAATCTATACTCCATTAACTAAATAATGTCTGTCTAAAGAAACACCCCATGCTAGATTTTCTTTGTTTTTGTTTTTTTTAATGAGATATATATATATATGTGTGTGTGTGTGTGTGTGTGTGTGTGTGTGTGTGTTTTAATGATAATTATAAAAGATCAATTAATATTAAAACTTGGAGCTCTCACACTCTCTCGACTAATTAATTATTTTTGGGTTTGTAGAAACTTTCCAACTCAAGAAAACATTGCGAGGAAGAAGCATCTGCAAAAACAGAAGGAAGAGAGAGGAGACGTTTTAAAAACACAGCAGTTTGGGTTTGTATGATACTTTTTATTATTCTTTTACTTAAAGGACCACTATAGGCACCCAGACTACTTCAGCTTAATGAAGTGGTCTGGGTGCCAGGTCCATCTAGGGTTAACCCTGCAGGTGTAAACATAGCAATTTCAGATAAACTGCTATGTTTACATTAGGGTTAATCCTGTCTCATTGACTGCCGCTAGAGGCGCTTCTGCGCTTCTCACTGTGAAAATCACAGTGAGAAGATGCTGCCGTCCATAGGAAAGCATTGAGAAATGCTTTCCTATGGACTGATTGAATGCGCGCGCGGATCTTGCTGTGCATGCGCATTCGGCGGATGACGTCGGAAGAGGGAGGAGAGTCCCCAGTGCCAAGGGAGCCTGGCGCTGGAGAACGGTAAGACTTTAACCCCTTCCTCCCCTTTCAGCCCAGCGGGAGAGGGACCCTGAGGGTGGGGGGGACCTGAGGACCCTATAGAGCCAGTAAAACGAGTTTGTTTTCCTGGCACTATAATTTAAACTTTTTTTTTTTTTTTTTTAGTTATACAATATGGTTTGAGAGACTTCAGGTAAATAGTTCATTAAAAATAAATAGTTTACTCTGCATTTGTAATTTAGGGTATGACTGATATTTCTCCCAATATGTTTTGTTGGTTTATGGTTAGATTTGGTTAGTTCTATATACAGTTGGGCTTTGCATAGTTTCACATATTTTAAATTATAGACAGACTCTTACATAATTTTAAATCTGCTGTAAATAACATAGCATAGGCAGTTTCCATCATGATACATGTAAGTAAATGCTAACTGGGGACTATATGTCCTTGTCATTGGTGGCTATGGCCAGTGCTAGATGATTTCATCTAGTTGACCCCCATGCAAGATCTCAAGCACAGCACTTGCAGTGTATTTGGGAAACCTATATATGGTAATGGATAATCATTTGGAATAAGGATGGAGTAACTTTTTTTATTTTCAAATATGTTTTTTAAGAATGTTTATTACAATTTAAAGACAAATTTCTGTGAATTTTCGAAAAAGAGGAACTTCGTGGGAAGTCTCTCTTTACTAAAAAATATAACTACGGAATTTACTTAAATGACTACAGAATTAACTATAATTGTGCAATCCTCACAAGTTATTTCCTTATAAATAAGTGTCAGAATTGCACCCAGTAATGTTTTTATCAGTAAAATGAAAATATATCTATCTCCTAAATACAAAGGGCAATACTGCTCACATGAATGACATAACGTTTGCCAGATGATTCTTCAGGATCCTTGTCTTAATGTAGCCATTATGTTTAAGTGTATTTTGTGTGCAGTGTAGTTTAGTTCATGCCCTGGTATAAACAGTTCTGTATTTACTATATGTATTTGGTAATTTGATATCGAATGGTTTTGTTAAAAGTGCTGCTTCTCTCTTTGTATAGCTTGCTGTATTATTCTTTTCTTCTCTCCCCTAGTAAGATGAAAGGGATGTGGAAGGGCCCAGCAGGCGGTTGCAATGATGGACAGCAACGGAAACATAATAAAAAGCAAAGAAACTTTAGGAAAAAGTTCAAGAGAAATGAATCAGCCACACAGCACATTGAATCTGCTAACACAAAGCCAAATAAAATCAATGTGCACAAAGAAAGGCAAAACAAGCCAGCTAATGAGCAGTTTGTGGACCCTCTCAACATGCTGGCTGGCAGTGACCCTGGTAAGATCTAAGCTTGATATTTTATTTGATTTTTTTTTTTTTTTAAACTTTTTGACTCTTTTTATAAGAGTCATACAATGCACATTAGTTAAGCATTTCACAAATGGAATTCAAGAACATGCAGTAGGTATTTCTAGATATTTTGAAACTGATAACGTACCAGTAATTCTTGTGTTGATTATGTATCAGATTGGCTCAATAACAAAATAACATATAATATAAAGAACTAAAATAAAAGCGGAATTAAAAGAATGTATTTACAAATAACCAGGTGAGTAGTGACACCATTTAGCTTGATTTTATCCTGTGAGATTATTCAGCTTGCATAAAATGGCTAGCTCTTCCATTGGCCACTTTGAATCTTTGGCAGTGACAGGTAATAAGCGGAACAATTATGGAAGCAAATTTAGAATCTCTTATAATTCCCAGCAAAAAAAAAAACCTTAATGTTAAAACTTGCATAATTTATGTTCAGCTGTGCAAAATCAGGAAGAATATATCTTCTTTTAGAGATGCCAATTGGCTTTTAACTGGTGTCAGTCTCTTCTTATGGTTATACTAGATGTTGAAAGAAAGGGAAAAAAAAAAGGTTAAAGTATTGATAAAACTTGGTTGCCTACAGACTGAGCAGCTCTGTATTATTTTGCCTGATGTATTTCTGTATTTTTTTATTTTTTTTCCCCTAAGTAGAATCAGACAAAGAAGAAAAGACCGTGAATACAGGATTGTGTGTAATCCCAAATCAGGTAACCACAGGCCTCAGCAGACTAATAGCCAGCTATGGAAGTTCATCAGACAGTGACGACGACAAGCCTGAAGGTGAGCTCTTGTCTTATGCTAAAGGTTTTTGGTTTTTGTTTTCTTTTAACATCCACTGTCTAGGTTTCTGCATTAAATGAAGTGTTGTAGTCTTATTTTGGATTGGTTTTGTGCATTAAATATGTATGTGACATTCCAAAAGTGCTAGCATGTGCAGTGGTCTGTGTATTCCATGCTTGTAGTCTTTACTGCTATGCTATTATCATAGTCACAAAAGCAAAGGTCACAATAACAGTTCACATCTATGCAATATTTCTGCTAGCTCTTTCTACACGTCTTTTCCTTCCTCTTAAAAAGTGACCATATTTTGCTTGACTTATGCACTTTATAATTTAAAAAGTATATTATGATATATATTTAGGAATAAGTATAAACTTATTGACTTCTGAGATCTCTACTGGGAACGTGTGTCACTTTTTAAATGCTATTGCTGAACAAGGATCAATGCAGGTGTCCTTAGTGGACACGTTCAGTCTGTAATCAAATGCTAAGAAATAGGTGATAGTCTGCGTACTCTAACACTAATACTCTAAAAAGTCCTAAAAACAGATAATGTTCCATTTGCTCATTTAATTTCTGCAAAAAGAAATAAGTGCATAAACATTAAAAATTGATTTCTAATGTTTTTGCACTTAATTTATTTTTGCAAAAATTAAGCAACAAATGATCACTTGATGCAAAAAACGTTGACTTTGATTAAAAATCAAGTCAGTTAAATTTCTTTGATGTGGTATAAATCCCCAAGGCTCGATGCTTCTTGATTAGTTCTACCAAGAAGTGAGTCGCCTAATAATGGTGCTATGGTAATTTATTCTATAAATCATGTGGTTTCTGAATTGTATTTTTATTCTTGGCTTTTTATATTGGAAAGCTAACAGCTGAACTTAGAGCTCCAAGAAACGTCTGTTTTACTGCTTTCGATAATACAATAAGTGATGGCATCATATATAGCACAACAAGCTGTAACCTAACCTACACATTGAAACTCAAATCTGGGTGCTTAAAGTGCCCATTAATATGTGAAAAATTGAGTAGTGCATTATTTAATAACGTATTAGAGTGTGAAAATACAGACTTTTTTTTTTTTATCTTCTATCTTCATACTGCTTTGCTAATCTTGCTTGTTCGTCTAATGTAATCTACAAACCTCCAGACTCCCTCTGCTGGAAAAGTGTGTTCATGTGTAGGTTGAGAGTTCTGTTTCATCCAACATCTTTCCCTGTCGATATGTCTGTTTACATCAACAATGCTACAGTGATTTAACAGTCTTACAGGTTTTTTATTTTATTTTTTATTATTCCAGAATTCCAAATAAAGACCGTGGCAAAGGCTTTAGAAGAGAACAAAATTATACTTCAGAAAAATGTCCAAAGTGAAAACACAATAAAATTCCCAAATACACAGAATGCAGATTCACAAAACCGCTCACTACAGAACAAAGGGCCTCAGAGTAAATTTGTACCGCAGAGCAGGGAACATGGAAAACAGGGAAAGAAGCCCCACAATGCTCCGATCAAACATCGACCTACTCTTCTGGAAATGGTAATTATATCTTATACTTCTAATATTCACACCTCTCAAGTGTCACTATTTTGGACCCAAATCTCTGTGTCTCTTTTTCTGCCATACTGTCCAGCTTTTCTATGAGCTCTATATTATTAGTGTGTCTGAGTGTATAACAGAGCTCCACAGCAATAATACTCACAGTAGTGTCTTTTTATAAATATAGGCTCTTTATGAAAAACTCAATACGCATTTCACTGAAACTCCAACCCAGTCTAGAACTCAGTATTTCTCCTAAAGAATACAGAAAGTATTTGTCTTAACCAATTTGGACCAATTATAAATATGTGTTTGGTGCAGTGTCTCTCTTTAATTATAAAAATAAGATGTATGTTTTAAAGTACCATTTGCCATGAAACAGTTTTCATATATTAAACATTCAAATTTTTACTATTTAAATGGTATTAATGTTTATTTCCCTCCTTTTTAGTTATTGTCTCATGACATACGCCATGAAAGGAATGTGATTCTGCAGTGTGTACGGTATATACTCCAAAATGACTTCTTTGATGCCCCGCTGGACATTAAAGCACATGAAAGCACCACCAATGGTATAAGTAATGGTTTTGTTCCAGAAGGTGGAAGTGTTAATGCAGATAATAGGCTTGAAATGCATGGTGCACAGCAGAGTGTTTCAGGTAATGGATTGCGTAAAGAGGAGGATAATGAGGATGAAGTCTTTAATCATGCCAGCCAGCAATCAACTATCGTGGATGATGAAATTTGGGAAACCCCAGCCAGCTATATAGACACAGCCGAAGTATAAAAATTATGTACACTTAAATGGACAGTGATTTAAGGACCCTGCTTTCTCTATTGTAATACACATATATAGTTCTCCAGAACGGAGGATAGAATTTATAGCAAGCATCTTTTGTATGCTGAATAACTTTTGCTGTCAGTCTTTTGTGAGAAACACAAATGGGACATTTTTTTTTTTTTCTTTCATTTACACACAGAATACTGTACATTTTCAGCCATTATTAATAAAGTAACCATTTTGTGTGCTAAATGTTTTAGTGTAAATGCATTGTTGCTTGATTTCATCAGTAAATGGCCACTGCCTTGCTTGGCGCAGGAGCGCTAACAATTTCCTACATGTGAACTTCCCGATGATCTGCATTAGTAGTGAAGGCAGGGAGCAGTGGCCAGACGATCATTTAAAAACAGTTTGACTCCTTCCATTGGGGGAGGACAAGGGCACTCCCTGCAGCTAACCACTACACTGAGCTGTTATGGTGTATGGAGTGTTCCTGTAATATTTCTCACTTTTTTTTTTTTCCAATTCTGAAATTAAAATTATTTTTAAAAAAACAAAAAAAAACTAAGCTAACTGAAATTTCCAACTGAACAAATAATATTTTTTTTTTGACCATTTTTATTTTTGACTTTGTTGTTTGAGCAGAAGTAGACATGTAGCAATACGGTACACAACAGTAGTTTAAAGTCAACATCCGTATAAGGAACAGTAATAATAAAGATTAACCATCTGACATATCGTTCTAACAGTGGTACAAGCATAATTTCAAACAAGTAGCGATAGTTATTGGTCTGACATGAACAATAGTCAAGCAAAACTGAGTCACAGTTTAAGCATTTCATTAGGTAAAGGCACTTGCAAACATTAGTAATCATATCCATTGAGTTTGTCTGCATGTCTCGACAGGGCTAGTGTGTGAAACACTCCTAATTTATCATTTTTGTTGGTGATCTCTTTGAGGGAGTACTCTTATTTGCTTAAGTGATGTGGGGAGAGTGTGGAGCGACCTTGGGGTAGCTATCCCTGTTCAGGTAAGTGGCGAGTGTTGGAAAATAATTAGATCCGTGCTGTTCCATGGGGTGGGCTGGTCTTGTCTCATTGGGCTCATGGCAACTAATCCGTGCTGTCTAGGCAACTGCGTCTATGAGATTTGGCAGTGACTGTGGATTATGGCAGAGGCGTTGTTATGCCGTTTGGGCTCCTGTGTCGATATGTGGTATAGGTCCCAACCAACTCCAATGTGTTCCGTGTATCTCCAGCTTCTCACACACACACACTCTCCACTGGTCCTGTCTAGGTCACCCTGTACACACCTTAAATACTGTTAAGTATCTGTGCCCGGTACAGGTCAGGGTATGTGTATGGGGATGCCCCACTAGGAGAGAGCGAGGTACTGGGGGTGGGAAGGGAGAAGAGATGGGGAAAAAAGGAGGGAGGTTAGTGCCCCACCGCACCTGCCGAGGTGAATATCATCCATGGGGTCCAGGTCTGGGTGCATCTTTCTGAACAGCTTTGCAGGGCTGCTGTTGGTGTTTCCATGTTATAAATCTCTCCGACTATCAACACAATGCTGGAAAGGAGGCGCCCCCTCTGGTTTCATAATGTTGGGATCAGTGATTTTTCTGCGGTCAGCAGGTGTTTGGTCAGGGACTTCTTATATGTTTTCATGGGCATGTCATTATGTGGTAGGAGCATGGGGAGGGGCTGAAGTGGTGACTTTGTGTCCGTGATCTGCCTGATCTTGGTGTTTACCATTACCCAAAAGGGTGTTGTGTCTGGGCATGACCACCAGATGTGGAGCTTGGTGCCTGTTGCATTCCCGCACCTCCAGCACTCTTCTGGTATGTCTGCATTCATGCAGTGTAAGATGTTGGGGATTCTATACCAGGGGGATAGTAGTTTAAAACTAGTTTCCTGGAATTTAGGGCTAACCCAGAGTTTGGTAGTTGATTGGGTGTGCCAGTCGGTGATTCTGAGTAAGTGTGTGGCTTGGTAGTATCCAGAGATTGATGGGAGCCCTGTGCACCCTTGGCTCTTGGGCAGCTCCAGTTGTGATTTGCTAAACTTAAGGGCCCGCCTATTCCAGATGAACCTCTGGATTGCAGTGGACATGGATTGGAAAAAGGCTCGGGGAACCACCACCGGGATTTTCTGGAACAAGTACAGGATACGCGGGAGTATATTCATTTTCACCGCGTTGATGCGGCCGGACCTGGATAAATATAGGTGCAATTCCAATTGTAAGGCTGTGAGGGTAGGGAGAAAAGTTGGTAAAGGAGGGATAGTTCTTTTGGTAGCCAGGTGCCAAGATATTTGATCTTCGCCGCACAGAAAGTGAAGGGTAGTTGAGCGCACAGGTGCGACTCTTTCGGCAGGGAGTGTGACGTTAATCGCCTCCGATTTCTCCAGGTTTAATTTAAGGTTTGAGACCCGGCCAAACTCCCTAAAATTATGCAGGACGTTGGGTAGGGAGACTATTGGTTTGTCCAAGAAAAATAGCATATCATTTACATATGCTGCGATTTAGGAAAGTGCATGGGCAAAAAATTTGTTTCGGTTTGAAATTTGGGGACGTAAAAAAAATTTCTGCTTTGGGAATTCGGACCAATGGCATTTGGTTCGGCACTTCCGCACTTCGGAAATTCGGTTGGGGTTGCAATCCTGGGCAAACTCTAACCACTTACACATCTATAGGGCTCCCAGTGCCAGGAATTAGCTTTTTGGTCAAGATTCCTGTAATCATTCACGTAATTTTCCCTCTCTCTCTCTTGTTTTGCCACTTTTCAGAAACCCGAAGTAATTTGGTTTGGCACTTCCGAAGTACCGAACTTTGGAAATTCATGAGCATCCGAATTGCACAAAATTCATCCGAATATACATTCAAAACGAATTGCACATGTCCAAAGGTGAACCCCGTAATACCTCCTTCCTGTCTGACCGCCTCCAGAAATGGTCCTGGAGAGGGGATAGGGGGCATCCCTCCCTAGTCCTGTTGATCCTTATGCGGGCCTAAAGTGTCGTGTACAGGGATAACACCCAGGAGCGCATGTGCAGGCCAAAACTCATGCAAAAGTGTGGCATTGAGGTATGACCAGTTCAGCCCAACGAGAGCTTTTTCATCGTCGGTGGAAACGAGCACTAGCTCCTTCTTCTTTGACCAGAAGGAGCGGATGACATTAGGAGCCCTGATCGTACTGTATCCAACTTTGTGGCCGGGGACGAATCCCACCTGGTCTGGGTGGACAAGGTTTGGGAGCACACGTGACAGCCTCAGCACCATGGTTTTTGGAAATAATGTTAGGTCTGCATTTAATAATTGGGGGGGGGGGGAGAGGTAGGTGCACTCAAGGGAGCTAACAGAATTGTAAAGTAACCTCCTTGACTGTTTGACAGCTGGGGGTTAATAAATCAGTTATAAAACTGCTGATGTATGACAAATACAACATTTTATGAAGTGTCTTTAAAATTAGATGCTCGTCCATAAAGCAAGCTGAAGTGTTTTATTGCTGTGGAGTGGTCCTTTTAAGGATAACCTGAAAATCGGTAGTTGTTCTGCTTCTCCCCCACCCTACTAATATATTGAAGTTTTGTAAGCAATGGCTAATTTATAAACTAATTTATTTAGAAAAAAGTATTTACATGGTAGTGAAGCATTGTTTTGTTTTTTTATGAGCTGCTGATTGTCATAAATCTATTTCCACTTCAGAGAAATGCACCTGTCTGTTGCTTCAGCAGATATTTTGCAATTAGCAGAATAACTCAATTATGGTTGAGATGCTTTCTGTATACTTTTCTACAGAGTTTAAAAGCGTTTCATCTGAGACAGTGTACACTCCTAATTGCTTTTTTTGCCAAACATTTCATTCAACCGCAGCACCTTCACTAATAATATATTACAAAAATTGCTGTTTAATTAAATCACTGTTTACTAATATTTACTAATATTCTCATAATTTCAGATAAACTATCCATGTTCCAAAACAAGCATGAATGTTAGCCTAGTTTATTATATAATATACTGGGAAAGAATATCTGTCTCTAGGAAAGATATAGAGAAAAGAGGATTTGTCCCCCCCTCCCCAACAATGTAGATTGAAACCGAATATAAACTTTTATTGAAAATGATACTTCCTAATGGCAACATTTGTTGTTTGTCACATCACCCTCAGTACCTCTATTAGGGTGCCTTTCTTGAACCCCATCCCAGCCCTCTTAGGTCCTGTATTTAGTTCACAGGTATAGATTGACCTCTGCATGCATATTAAAGGCTTGACATTGTGGTGGTTTCCACTCTAGAAGACATTTAGACCTCGATTTTTAATAAGCTTTCCAAAAAATTAAATACTGTTAGACAAGTTTCTATATGAGTTATCTAAATAAGTCACCGTTAAAGTCTTTGAGAATTTTTGTAGATTATTAATTTGGATTTTTTTCTAACGGTGTAACGGACCATTAAGCACACAAGAGGTTAAAAACTGTTTAGGAGATATTCCCCTTTCAGATGCACAGGCAGCTACTGCAATCTTCCGAACTGGAACCATACGAATCCTCCAACTCCCAAACAGGAAACACATGAATGCTGTTAAACAGCCGAACAGGAAAAAACCATACGAACAGCTTACACGCCTGGCAGTTGCACTGTAACAGCATACAATCCAATTCCCCCCAAGAATGAGACGACACTTCGTTTGAGGATCAAGCAGAACTGATTTACTGGGGCTACCTGCCCGGCTTTTATGCAGGTCTCCCACCTGGTGGACACTCCCCTAGGGGACCAGATGGGAAACTGGGACACAACGGGTAAAAGGACCAATCACAAGCTTACACATTTAAACAAATCCCACAAGGCATTGCAATCCCTCCTCTCTGTCCTGGAGATAATTGAGAAGTAATCCAATTATCTCCAAGGACAGAGGCAAACTCCATTAAGCACATGTTAACAAAACGACAAAAATATACAATGTTGCAAATATTACACATAACATATACATTCAACATATCCCCAGATAGCTTAGATCTGAGCGCACAGTATTACCGAATGGCGCTCAAATCACATACACATAGTTCAATCGCCATGGAGCCAAAGTCTTTCATACAGTCTTTCGGTATACGAATGGGCTCCATGGCAGAACTATCTGGGGTAATATTGTTCACATAATGAAAGTCCCGAATGAAACGGTGTTCGTTTCTTTGCAGGAGAAGGGAAGTCAGCGGCTCAGCGGTGTTCGTGAAAATAAGCGTCAGTTTTGAGTTCCATAGATTTGGAGCTGAACACCGCTGGCCGTTTGGGAGTTTAAAATGGCCGCTGCCACGTGTTCGGCAAACGAACAAAGGCCACCCAGCTTTCGTTGATTAAGCTGCGGTTAATTGATGGCACACTCCAGTTCCCAGATGGTCGATCGGTAGTTTGTTTGGTAGATTCAATCTAGGTAACTAAAAAACCTCCATTTGTTTAAAAACACATAGGGATTAAGGAGAGAGTGCAGGTAACTTGTTTTTATTTGGTTTTTACTATATATTGGGGCTGATGTGTACTGTAATCATTGCTGCCGCCCAGTGATGACAGTGAGCGCAGGACTTATCTTTCTGCATTTTTTTCCATTTTTTGTATCACTCAGCCTTGTTACAATGCAGCCGCCCATCCCATATGTTCCTTATTAAGGGTTAATAATAAAAAATACCCCTTTCTGTCTCATTAGAGATTTTT